TTTATTCCTTTATTGTCCCATCTGTCTCTAAAATGCAAGTTTCTGAAAATAGATACTTGGTCTATTTTGTTCTCTGTTTTATCACCAGTGCCTAAAGGAGGTGCTGGCACTGAGAAGGCACTTAAACCATGCAGGGTGAGGTTAAAAAGTATCAGGCTTTTCTGCCCTCCCACCATTAGGACTGATGATGGATCCCTGCAGTCCTGAATGCATGCCTGATGGTGGGCACCTGGAGTAGGGTGTGGGCATGTGTAGGTGGATACACCTGGGCTGCGACTGGGCTTACAAGGGTGGTGTCACGGGGACGCCAGCAAAGCAAAAGAGAAAAGAAGGGAAAGCAGAGAGAGCGAAAGAGAGACCGGGAGAGAACCAGAGAGAACGAGGCCACGATAGAACACCAGAGAGCCAAGGAAGAGTGAAGATTTGCTGGGGGCTGGGAGGCCTGCCAGCCTCCCAGCCACCCCCGCCCCCACCAGGCACCTCTGCCTGCCATGTACCTAGTTTTTTGGGTTTTTTTTTTAAGATTTATTTATTTATACATACAAGAGCTGGAGTACAGGCCAGAGATATGGGGAGTGAGAGGATCCACCAGAGACAGAGCAGGGAGCAGAACAGGCAGACTGACTGAAATACACTGCTGAGGGGAGCAGCGGGCAAGACAGGAGAGGTCTGCTGTGCCATGTGGGTAGCTCCCTGGCGGGCCGGGGCTCAAACTTGTGCTGCAGAGGCTGTGGATTGCTTCACAGTGCTGTGCTTAACCCCTTGCGCCACCAGGAAGGCCCACCATGTACCTAGTTTTAAATCCCAATAAAAGCCTGCAAAAGCCACCAAGGGCTCCAGGACTCTCCTCTTTTACCCTGTCTGCCCGATCATAGAGCTCCTGCTCCTGTCCCCTTCCTTGCACTACAAACCCTTATTGGATAGGCGAATGCAGCAGGTATTCTATTAAGTTTTACTTCTTAGCTTGTTTTCTCTTGGAGCTGTCAGTCCTCTTGCTCTAATTTGGACCAGCAACTATCTTGGCCAGTAGGTCCAACTATTATTCCGGGAATTCCTTTTGCCTCTTTCTAGTCCTGAATTTCTACCTCTAAAGCTTGTCTCTTCCTTGGTGTAGACCCTCATTTTGGTAGATCACAATTCATACATTGTAAAGCTTTTGAATGTCTCTGTCACAACATCCAGTTACTATCTCCCGTTTTTGTTTTTTTTAAAGCTTTTATTTTATTTACACAAGAACCGGGGTACAGGCCAGATGTGTGGGGGGGAGGGGGAGGGGGTAGGATTCACCAGAAACAGAGTGGGGAACAGAACAGGCAGACTGATGAAATACACTGCTGAGGGGAGCAGCGGGTGAGACAGGAGAGGTTGGCCGCACCATGTGGGACCCTCACCAGCCAGCTGGGATCGAACTGGCGCTGCAGAGGCTGTGCTTCACAGCACTGTGCTCAACGCCCTGCGCCAGGAGGGGAGGCCCGACATTAGGATTTCAATAAGATGTTGATGGGGCCTCCCCAGTGGTGTAGCAGGTTGAGCACAGCACTGTGGAGCTGTCTATAGCCTCTATGGCGTGGGTTCAATTTCTGGCTGGCCAGGAAGAAACCCACAAGGCGCAGCAGACCTCTCCTGCCTTGCCAGTTGCTTCCCTCAGCAGTGTCTTTGATCCGTGTGCCTGTTCTGCTCCCTGCTCTGTCTCTGGTGAATCCTCTCACCCTCCCACACCTCTGGCCTGTACCCCAGTTCTTGTGTAAATAAATAAATCTTTAAAAAAAAAAAAAGAGACTCAAATATTCAGACCATAGTACTAAGATACCTTTCCTAACTAAATCCCTTCATATTGATTGTTTCTGGTTTTCCTGTCTTCAGCATCTGTGGTTTAGATAATTTACTCATAAAATTTAAAATTTTCAAATGTTTTGGAATATGTTTCATTTTCCCTAAACTCTTGTATGAAACCATGCTTGCTATTTTTTTCAAAGATTTATTTATTTATGCATACAAGGGATCGAACTCCTGTTGCAGAGGCTGCGGATAGCTTCATAGTGCAGTGCTTAACCACTTGCGCCACCAGGGAGGCCCCTGCTAGTATTTTATGTCCCTATTTTTCTATCCTTATAGTACCTGTTACAAGGACCGAATTTAGTAAGGAATCTAGTAAAGCCAAACTGTCCTTGTTTACTGCTGCAATAAAGAGCAACTGCAGGCCTTCTCTCTTCTCCTTAGTTCAGATCAGCTTATCCCTTCTAAAGGCCAGCTCCTTCCACAAAGTACTCAGAAATAAGCCAAAGGACCCTCCTGTGGAATAGAGTTTACCATAGATGGAGTAAATTTTCAGTTAATGTATTGTTGAATCAAACTGTTATTTTTTCCCTCTAAGTCTTGATATTACCAATTTTTAAAACACATATTCCTGTTTTATGACTTGATGTGTAGGCATGTATTTTATAAATTTTAAAGATAAACACTGTGAAAAATTGTTTGCAAGGATACACTAATTGTGTTGTATATCAACCTAATTGAATCTTTTTTTAAAAAAGATTTTTTTATTTATAGAAGAACTGGGATACAGGCCAGATGTGCGGGAAGGTGACAGAGTAGGGAACAGAATAGGCAGACTGACTGAAATACACTGCTGAGGGGTGCAGTGGGTGAGACAGGAGAGGTCTGCCCCGCCATGTGGTTATCTCCCTGGCCGGCCAGGATCGAACCCGCACTGCGGAGGCTGCAGACAGCTCAACCACCTGCGCCACCAGGGAGGCCCAACCTCCCTGGTGAATCTTTGTTCTTAGGGATAATGTCTGTATCCTAACAGTGACAAGATCACTATTCTGAAGATTTATTTTCACCTTACGAAGGCAAAATGGGGAAAAAGAGACAATCTCTCAAAAAAGATGGGAAACAAAGAAGGAAAATGCAATAAAATTCTGCATCCCTGGGAATAAGAGATTATTTTAACATCCAAAGTTATATTAGTCAAACACAAACCCAATATAATGAACTTTTCCTTTTTTAGTAGTAAATGAATAGATTATTCTAACACTCCTAACATCATTGAAAATCATCTGGGTATAAGGCCTCCCCAGTGGTGCAGTGGTTAAGCGCTGGGTTGCAAAGCTGCCCACAGCCTCTGCAGCGCTGGTTTGATCCCTGCCACCCGGCGAGGGGCCCACATGGCACTCCCTGCTCTGGCTCTGGTGAATTCTCTCACCCTCCAGTGCTTCTGACTGTACCCAGTGCTTGTGTAAATAAATAAATCTTTTAAAAAAAAATCATCTGGGTATAACGACGTGAGAGTAACTGGAAAATGACTTCTTCAGCTAAAATCTAATCAAGTACTAATACATTGCCTGTATTAAGGCAATGAATAGAAGAATGATGGTCAGGGTGAAGAACAGCAAAAACAAAAGCAAAGAGATAGAAATAAATTGTTTTGCACTAATCATAGGGGATAAACACATTAATTCTGCAAGTCATGGATATAGTGATTCAGCAAGCATCACCGCAATTCTACTTATTGAGAATTAATTTTCTAAATGAAAATGAACTGAATCACAATAAAACCAAATGCTTGTTTTTTCAGTTCAGTACCCCATTTCAAACTCTCACAACATCCACTTTACACATAACAGTTCTAGGACAGATAATATACCCAGTCCTAGATCCTGCCATTTAAGCCCTATCAGGAACTCTTATTTGCAACAAAAATATATTTCATAATCCCAAACTAAAAATCCATTGCTGCTTATCCAAAATCAAACCCTCGCATTTAGGCACTACTTTATTTAACACAGGATATACATTTTTAAAAAAGAAAATTTAAGCTTTCAAAAAAAGACTTTGTTCTTTTACCTCTGCCAGTGACTCCATTTCTTTGAGCCAGGGAGGCCCAACCTAGTTGATTTATTTATTTATGCATACAGAAGTAAAGCAAGAGTTTACAGAAGTAAAGCAAGAGGGTTAATCTAGTACTGACTTTACATGAAAATTCTATTAGTTTCTGATTTTATAATGTACAATGGTAGCCACATTTTCTAGCTAAATCCTACTTTTTCTAGGCAAAATAAGCCAGTGTTTTCTTCAATTAGTCATGTTTTCTTCAATTAGTCATGGAAACAGCTTAGGGGGCTCAATGGCCTGTCATTTTTAAAAACAAACGCTGAAATAGAATAAAACAGAAGATACAGGGAATCGTAGACTATTTAGTGCGGAAGCACTGTTTAATGAATTACTGATTTCAAATTTAGACATACCGAATGTACTGGAGGAGAATGCAAGATTTATGATTGAGAAACACTGCTCTAAAACTGCGGGTGTTCTAAGTGTGATTTGAGGGATTTGCGAGATCGTCCCTTTCCCGATTATATACAAATGTGCGTGACGCCAGAATTTTCTTTATCTGCTGCCATCAAAACCTTTCTCAACAAAAAACCAAAAAACAAACAAAAAAAAACCTTTCTCAAAGACTGAACGCAGACGCAGGAAGGAGAATTCACAACTGTATCTTTTTCAGCCAGGCGTTAAAAGATATTTTCAAAACTGTACGACTCACTCTCCCAATTTCTTGTTTTAGGCGGAAAAAAAAAAAAGTCATTTAAAGTATTATTTTAAAATGTCCGCTTTAGGAATGAATCCGGTGACTATCACTGGCTGCAACTCCCAGAAACAGAAGCGCCGGGCGCGCTCAACAGTGTCAGAGCCGCCGGCCAATGCGGAACAAAGGACTCGAGGCCGGGCTCGCGGCGGGTTTCACGCGGCCGACGCGCGGGGTTGGTGGGGGGGGCGCCCCGACACCGCCCGCCCCGCCCCGCCCCCGCCTCTCCCCGCCCCGCCGCTCAGAACCCCCGCGAATGAGGACAGCGCCGAGAAGGCGGGCTTGTGTACCTCGTGGACGTCGGGGCGTCGGCCCGCATAGGCTCCCGGCGCGCGCGAACTAGGTCACAGAGGGACGGGCGCGCCGCCGCGCGTCGTTGCGACACTGTCGTGCTGCGCGGGGTCTGAGCCGTAAAGGCCGTCGCGGAGCCGCCCCCAGCGAGCGGCGGCGGACGAGCGCGGCCATGGCGGACATGGAGGACCTCTTCGGGAGCGATGCGGACAGCGAAACGGAGCGGAAAGGTGGAGCCGGCTGGACTTCGGGGGGCCTGCGTGCGGGGGTTTCTGGGGCGGCAGCCGGGGGCGGTCGGGCTCCCGGGCTCCGATCGCTCGGGCGCTGCGGGCGCGTCGTGGCGCCTCCTCGACTCCAGTCTCGGCGCCCCCTGCCCTCCCGGGGGTGCCGTTCTCCCCCGGCGGGCGGGCGGGCGTGGGGGGACACTCGCTGGGTGCACCTGGAAGTTGTAGGTGTGGGTGGAGAGTGAGGTGCCCGGGAGGTCGTGGAACGAAGGGGGCCACGAGGGGCCGCGGGCGAGCAACCTGGGGTCCTTCTGTCCTGCCTTGCACTGCCCAGGGCAGATGGAGGACTGCTTGTGAATGAATGGAAATTTGATGTTCAGGAATATGGGACTCGGGTGGACGAATTTACAGAGGGACTCAGAATGCTCCTTGAATAAGCCAGAGCGCGGCATGATTGGGAGTTTGAGATGTCTGGCTGAAGAGATTGTGGATCCTGGGATAGGGCTGAATACTGGCGTTGTGCACGGGAGAGAATGTGCCTTCTTAGAGCCTGTGAAAACGCTCTAGAATTTCTTGGTTCTGTGGTATTGGTCCTGGGAGCATGGGGAGTGTGTTTGGAGAGGACAGAAAAAGGAGTTGTTGATGAATTGAATGAATAAATATGTTTATGGTGTGTGGAAGAACTTATGGCACAAAGAACGGGTATTTGAGTTTGAAATACGATTAAGGGCTATTTGAAGTGAGAAGCGACTCAAGACCAAGTTTATAATTATTGCAACCTCCAGGCTCAAAGTAATATATTTACTTTTTTCTTAGCAAAGAGCATTATTTTTCTTTCCTTCCCTCCTATTCCAGTATATAGTATGGTGATGGAAATTTAGTGTGAGGCCTCCACCCAGATGGGTATCTAGGGGTTCTGTCCAGGATGCCCTCGTTTTCATTCCTTGTAATAGTATGAGTTTTGGTGTTTTTTGGTTAGTCTAGCTTGTTAATTTTATTTTCAAAGAACAGACTTCTGGTTTCATCGATTCCATTCTTATTTTTTATTCTCTGTTTCATTTACACCTGCTCTAATTTTAATTTCTTTCCTTCTGCTTGCTTTGGGTTTAGTTTTCTTTTTCTATTTTCTTGCAGTATAAGGCCAGGTATCAATTTGAAATTATTCTTTATGTTTACAGCTACAAATTTCCTTGAGTACTGACTGCCCCGCCTCCCTTAAGTAATAGTATGCGATGTTTTCATTTCATTCATCTCAAAATATTTTCTAATTTCCCGTGTGATTTCTTCTTTGATCATTTGAGTGCAATGTTAAATTTTCACTTATGTATTTCCCAGATTTCCTTCTTTTGCTGATTTCCATTTTATTCCATTGAGATCAGAAAAGATCTGTGATGTGGTTTATTCTTAAATTTGTTGAGTTTTGGTTTCTGTCCTAATGTAATCTATCCTGGGGAGTGTTTCATGTATACTTAAGAATGTATATTCTAGGGCCTCCCTGGTGGTGCAAGGGGTTAAGATGCAACCTATGAAGCTATCTGCAGCCACTGTAGCATGAGTTCCATCTCCGGCCAGGGAGCTACCCACATGGCGTGGCAGACCTCTTCTGTCTCACCCGCTGCTACCCCTCAGCAGTGTATTTCAGTAGATCTGCCTGTTCTGCTCCCCACTCTGTCTCTGATGAATCCTCTCATCCCCCCACACCTCTGGCCTGTACCCCAGTTCTTGTGTGCATAAATAAATCTTTTTTTTTTTTTAAAAGAATATATTCTACTGCTAGTGGGTGGAGTATTCTGTTGACATCCTTTATATATAGGAAGGCTAGCATATTGTTATTCAGGTCCTCAGATTCCTTATAGATCTTCTGTCTAGTTGTAAATGGGATATTGAAGCTTCTAACTACTGTTTAGCTGTTTCTCCCCTCAACTCTGTCAGTGTTTGTAGGTAGGTATATGTTTATAGTTGCTGTATTTTCATGTGGATTGATTCTTTTATAATTTTAAAATGTCTTTTTTGTCTTTTTTAACAATTTTATCACAAGATTTATTTTGCCTAATACCAGTGTAGGCACTATGGCCCTGGGTTTACTATTTAAGTGGAATCTTATCCTATCCTTTAACTTTAAATTTGTGTCTAAAGTCACTTGTAGACAGCATATAAATGGAATTTTATTTTGGTCCACTCTGCCCATTTCTGCTTGTTCAGTGGAGAAGTTAATCTATTTACATTTAAATTATTGGTAAGGATGACTTCTGTCCTTTTGCTATTCGTTTTCTATGTGTCATCTTTTTTGTTTCTTAATCCCTCTATTACTCTCTTTTATATCTAATTTTTTCCATTATGTACTGTTTTGATTCAATTCTTATTTATTTTTTTCTGTATATTTTTTAGTTTTTGTTTGTTTTTTAGTGGTTACAGTTAACATCAAATTCATAACAGTCGAGTCTCCCCTGGTGGTGCAGGTGGTTGAGCAAAGCGCTGTGAAGCTGTCCGCAGCCCCTGCAGCGCAGGTTCAAGCCTGGCCAGCTGGGGAGCTACCCACATGGTGCGCCAGACCTCTCCTGTCTTGCCCGTTGCTCCCCTCAGCAGTGTATTTTTGTAGATCTGCCTGTTTTGTTCCCTACTCTGTCTCTGGTGAATCCTCTCACTCTCCTGTGCATCTGGCCTGTACCCTGTTTCTTGGATGCATGAATAAATAAATCTTTTAAAAAAAAATTCCTAACAGTCAAGTTTGGATTAACACCAATTTGATTTCAGTAGTATACAAAAGTTTATTTCTGGTATTAGCTGTTATCTTTTTTGAGGATCTCTTGTATGGCGCAAGCTGCTTCTCTCTTTTGCTGTTTTCAGGGTTCTTTTTTGTCTTTGCCTTCAATATTTTGAGAATGATGTATCTAGGAGTGGGTTTTGTTAACTTTATCGTACTTGGGATTTACTGAGCTTCCTGGGTGTGTGTAGGTTGATATATTTTATCTGATTTGGGAAGGGTTTTTTTTTTTGGTGTTTTTTAAAAATTTTTAAAATTTTTTTACATCATTGTTCAATTTTAAACTATTTACTTCCCCCTCCCCCTCAGGTGTAGTCCCCATAGAATTTCCCTCACCAAAGCACCCGTGCACCATTACCACAGTCTGATTTGGGAAGTTTTTAGGCCATTATTTCTTCATATATTCTTTCTGCTGTTGGACTTTCTCTGTTGGACTCCCATTATACATGTATTGTTTATTTGATGGTATCTCACAAGTGTTTCAAGCTTTATTCATTTTTTGTTATTTTTAATCTATCTTAAAATTTGCTAATTCTTTCTTCCTGCTCAGTTCTGCTGCTTAGCCCCTTAGTGAAATTTTCCTTTGTTGTTTAATCTCCACAATTTTCTAGGGGTGTGTGTGTGTTTTGGTAATATAATACCTTTTTATTGAGAGTCACTTTGTGGTAAGAAATCATTTTAATTATATTAATGTCATCAGGGACAGTTTCTAGCTTTTTTTCATCTGTATGGGGCATACCTATTTCTTTGCAGACCTTATAATGATTTGTTGTTAACTGGTCATTTTTAATATCATAATATGGCAACTCCGGAAATCACATTCTTACCTCTCCTTGGGTTTTGTTGTTGCTATTTTTGTAGCAGTTATTATTTAATGACTCTTTTCAACCAGTTTTATAAGATTGCAATTTTTATTGTATGTGATAACCTTTCTGTTCTGTTCGCTTAGTGGTAACTAGAGATTAGCTAGTGGTAATTAAAGATTTAATTTCTTTAAATGCTTAGACACCCCTCCCCATAAATTGTAGGTTCCTTTATGTGTTTGATGGGGCATACTTTGAACACTCAACCATGCAATTGACAACCTTTCTTTGTCTTCATTTCCTGAGTTCCCAGAGCTGAAAGTCAGCCAGAAGTGAGACTCCTAGGCATGTGTGTTGACTTTCAGAGCTCTAGGGATATGCGGGATCTTTTAAAAGTCTTTGTTCCACATGTCATTCCCCAGCCTTTCTCCCAAGCTTTTGGTTAGTCTGTTGTTGACCCCAAATGTTATCCATTGTCCCAGAGAGAGGAAACTAATATATTTGCCTGTAAATGTTTTTGCCATGCATACCCCAGTAACTGCACTGGGAAAGTTCCAAGTTAGGTGAGATAAAGGTGAGCCTTTGAGCCAGTCCTTCAGTGATCCACCAGACAGATCATAACTAATAACCATGGTTCTTGCCAAATGAGGCCCATTCTGCTCCCTTCCATAGTGATTTTTTTCCCAGTAATTTGGGCTGTTATCTTCAAGGCACCATTGAGCTGGGGAGTGAGGGTTTGGGGACAGACTAAGTTAGAATGCCACAAAGTTGTTTTCTTAGTTTCAGCATACTTTTGATTAATTTCCAAAGTACCAAGGAATTTGGTTCTAATGCTTTTTGATTAGGTCTTTGTTTTTTCTTTAAAATATTGGGATTTATTGACTTTTGCTGTTCCTTACATTGTCTTTTTTTTTTTTTTATAATCCTTTGTATATATGATTCTATAGATTCTGATTCTGGTTCGGACTCAGATTCTGATCAAGAGAATGTTGCTTCTGGCAGTAATGCCTCTGGAAGTGAAAGTGATCAAGATGAAAGAGGTGATTCAGGAAAGCCAAGTAATAAGGAACTGTTTGGAGATGACAGTGAGGATGAGGGAGTATCTCATCATAGTGGGAGTGATAATCACTCGGAAAGATCAGATAATAGATCAGAAGTATCTGAGCGATCTGACCATGAAGACAATGACCCCTCAGATGTAGATCAGCACAGTGGTTCAGAAACCCACAATGATGATGAAGATGAAGGTCACAGATCAGATGGAGGGAGTCATCACTCAGAAGCAGAAGGTTCTGAAAAAGCACATTCAGATGATGAAAAGTGGGGCAGAGAAGATAAAAGTGACCAATCGGATGATGAAAAGATACAGAATTCTGATGATGAGGATCTGGCACAAGGATCTGATGAAGATAAGCTGCAGAATTCTGATGATGATGAGAAAATGCAGAACACAGATGATGAGGAGAGGCCTCAACTTTCAGATGATGAAAGACAACAGCTATCTGAGGAGGAGAAGGCTAATTCTGATGATGATGAACGACCAGCAGCTTCTGATAATGATGACGAGAAACAGAATTCTGATGATGAAGAGCGGCCACAGATGTCTGATGAGGAGAAAATGCAAAATTCTGACGATGAAAGACCCCAGGCCTCAGATGAAGAACCTAGGCATTCAGATGATGATGAGGAGCGGGACCATAAATCAGGTAAATACATTTATATGAGAACTAAATGATTTAGTAGAGCCAGTCATGTATAGCTGTGACCTTTTGTTCTTTTTTTTTTTTAATCCCTAGACTTAATACCCTGTTTTTTTTTTTTTTTGTTATTCTATCACTCTGTTTCAACCTTTTCTTGAGAATATATATTTTGCTTTAAATTTTCTCCCCTAATCCATTTATTAGCTCTTGTCTCTTTCCCTTCCATTTGATAACTGATGATAGATCAGAAGATGATCAAGAGGACGCAGATGTGTGGTAGAGTAGTGAAATACTGAATAGATTTGGTTTCATTTCCCTTGATAACTAAAGAGCATGCCTCAGGTGAGACTAGATTGGCCAGGGGGGAAAAATTGCCATTGAAATGTCTCTATAAGACAGCTGTATAGAAGTGTGGACACCAATTTCCAGCTTAGCTCTTTTAATCTTATCCAGAGGTAATCAGGCTCCAAAGAGTTGATCAAACTATCAAATCCACAAAAACTAACTTGTAAAAATTGAATTGCAAATTTGTTTGTTGCAAGGTCAGTTATTTCTCCTTATGATTCTGTCATTTCCCTTGGGCAAATCTACTTTGGATGCCAAATTATAGTAATCAGGAGGTTGTCTGGAGAGAATAACATAGAAAATGAAAACGTGGCTGGATGATCTCAAAGAACTACAGTAGCTTGCCTCATATATCCCTACCCTGGGAGATTATGCCTGGGTGAAAAATACTCATTTCTTAAAGACTGGAAAGCACACAGGTGAACTTTGGCTTCCAAATTCCCCTTTTACAGTAGTCATTTACAAAATTCTGCTCAAGTTAACAGGTTCATCATCTGGAATACTTTTAAAATCTAGACATTTTTTAGACATTATTTAAGCCATCTTGATTAGTTTGTAAGTCCTCCTGACTACCTGTATTGTCTCGTGTTTATAGGTGATTGATTATTATTACATGTTGAACCTTTCTTAGCATAAATATGGAGGTGGTGGTGAGGGCAGTCTTTTCCTTTTTAACACATACCTTACAGGATAACATTAAAGATCACATTTTGACATTATTAGGATAGGAGATTATAATATTTCCAGAGATGGATCTAGGTCTGTATAGACTATTAGGTATTAAGTAACTAATTGAGAGTAGAGTTAGTTGTTGAATAATTAAAGAATCTCTAAGATTCATTTACTGTTTCCCAAATACTAGCAGACTAACTAACATAAGACTAGGGACTAGGGTCATAGTAGGGAATCTTATAATTGGTCATCCTGTTTAACTCCTAATTAGTTCTACATTGGTTCTGTTGATTTTCTTGAAGTTTTTAGGTAAACAGTTACGTCGTCCAGAAGTAATGATGTATTTCTCATCCATTGCTTTAAATGCCTTCCCCCCCACCCCATAATGATAAAGAAATTTAATAAGTTTCAGTACTACTTTTCTGTTTTGCTTCTTACAGAAATCATTGTTCCTTAATTTTATTTTTAAATTAACTCTAATAAGTTGATTTGTGCAGTTCTGTTAATGTCAACATGTGTATACGTTTGTGTAACCATTGTCAGTTAGGATACAGAGCAGTTCTAATACCCGAAATCCTCCATGCTAACCTTTTGTAGGCACATCATTCTTCTACTATTCACCGCTGGCAATTACTAGTCTGTTAGTAAGTTTTGACATTTTGATAAAGTCATCCTATAAATGGAATTGTACAGTATGTAACCTTTTTTCTTAAGCTTCCTTTACTTATCAAAACATTTGAGATCTATCAGATTGTTGCATATTTCAATAGCTTCTTATTTATTGCTGAGTAGGTTTCTGTGGTATGGGTGTACCACAGTGTTGCTTTTAAAAAATGTACTTCAAAGTTATGATGTGACTGTGATTATGCAGAACTTGTAATTCTTGTCTTGCAGAATCTGCCAGAGGTAGTGATAGTGAAGATGAAGTTTTACGAATGAAACGCAAGAATGCAATTGCGTCCGATTCAGAAGCGGAGAGTGATACTGAGGTACCCAAAGGTATGCTGTATACATGTAAATATATAAATAAATTAATTAACTGATTTCCACCCCTCTTTCTGCATTTAACTTAGTGTTTGCTGTAGGCTACAAGACCCATAGAAGAGAGTGTGATAATCTAGTATACAGGGGAAGTTTTGCAGATGTGGGAAACTGCTTGTGCTTACTCTGTTAAAGAACTTGCTTCTTTGTTTATAATAAAAGTGAATCTGTTCTTAGAGGGCTGAGTCTCTATTCAAGATGGAAGTGGCAATATTCATTTTTCAGTTTGCATAATGGCAGTCATAGGGCAGCTTGTTCTTAAGTTGACGGGTTAATACCAGATGAAGAACCTGATTCTTTAAGCTATGGGTTAGTTGAAGAGTTCATAAAAACCCAGTATTAAGTAAAGTAGGTATGTTGTAAGGATAAAAGATATACCTATGCTTCTCTATGTATGACTGTTTCAAATGGTTTAACAGTATACAGTAAAGATGTTAGTATAAAGTTAAAGCAAATATAATTTTAATAGTTTGATTATGCATAGCCATTGTGCTGAATAGTAGAATTAGGCACTAATGTTAAGTAGTTTATATAAAATATCATAGGTCACATTGTAAAGTAAAGGGGTCAACCAGCGAGAGAAAACTGGACAGAACACAAGCTCTAGAATTTTCTTAAGGATCGTTGGATATAAGTAGTAGTTCACATAGACTTTGGAATGAGATGATCCAAATTGAAATCTTTGTGCTTTCCAAAAATGATGAAAACATGATATTATACATTTGCCCAAACCCACACAATCCATACCTTATGTTTCAAAATTAAACTTTAAAGTAAAGTATGGTCTTTGGATGACTATGATGTGTCAAGGTAGGTTCATCAACTGTAACAAATGTACCACTCTGGAGAAGAATGTTTATTATGGGATGATGTTTTTAGTTACATTTATTACTAGGGCCTCCCCGGTGGTGCAGTGGTTGAGCGCTGGGTTGCGAAGCTGCCTGCAGCCTCTGCAGCGCCGGTTCGATCCCCGGCTGCTCCCCGGGCACCGGAGGAGGGTCCTACATGGCGTGCAAACCTCTCCTGCCGCCCGCTGCTCCCCTCAGCAGTATACTTCGGTCCTTCTGCCTGCTCTGCTCCCCGCTCTGGCTCTGGTGAATTCTCTCACCTTCCCGCGCTTCTGACTGTACCCAGTGCTTGTATAAATAAATAAATCTTTTAAAAAAAAAATTACTGCTGGATTGGGGGGCGGAGCAACATGGCGGCAAGGAGACGCTGCGAGTAAGATCTCCCATTAAAAAAAGTTAATAGGGAAGAAAAACGGCAGGTCCCAGTGAGAACTGGGACACGGAAGATAAACAGACGACTCCAGCAAACTACCCGAAGAAGAAAGTGGCCATAAAAGAGGACTAGAAGGGAGGAAAGCGCAGAACCCTGCTCCCCTCCCCCACCCACAGAGTCGGCACTCTCCGACCAACAGAGAGGAGGAAAACAACAAACTAAAACGACCAACAAGAACGAACTACACATCAAGCGGGACTGTGAGTGGAAAGGAACTATTGCAGCCACCACACCCCATGAACGGAGCTGTGGAGAACCCTGCAGGATTCGCTGCGGTGGTGAGCGAACGGCTCCGGGTGCCATTGGAGAACAAAGAGACTCTGGAGGAGACCTGCACTCAGCCCCGGGCCAGCCAGTAAGCTTGCGCGGAAAAGCGGCGCGCTTGGCGCGCTTGAAAAGCAAACGCAGATCGGGATCGCGGCTGCCCAGGTCCCCACGCCTGTGACCTAGGCTTGTGGGGAGACGCGCGGAGGCCCTCACTGGGGTGAAAGTCCCTCACTGAGTAAGCAGGAACCAGGCGCCCAGGCACGGGAGCGGGTGCAAAAGGCACCATTCCCGCGCCACTGAACTGGGCTACAGCCCGCGTCCTGGACCTGAGGGCTTTGAACTGAGACCCGGGGCACGAAGTTCGGGGCGTGGGTTCTCCACGACGGTGGGGCACAAGGCAGACACAGCACCCCAAAGCCGTTGAGGTTTACCCTACCATTCCTGCTCTGTTCCCTGTCTCACGGGGTGGGGGGGGCGAAAAACAGCCCCCCAAGGACAATAGGAGAGCTCTCTGGTGCCACCTAGCGACCAGAAAAAAAAAGTCACTAACACCCCATAGAACAAGGAAATTTCTTAAGACTGCTTGAAAAGGGCAGAAGGCTCCCGGAGGAGACAGTGGCCAGCTGGGAAGTTAGCCCACGCCAGGCCCCTTCCGACCAGCAGTCTGAGCCCACAGAGGGAACAGGCACCCACGGCCGGGGCAGACCGGGCGCGCAGAAGAGTGTGCCTGAGACCGGATGCTCAGGGACTGAGTCCCGCGTTGCCATTTTAGAACAGGGACATTTCTTCAGTAAAGACTTCCTGAAACCAGCAGAAAGCTCCCTCAAAAGCCAGAGATGGCTCCTGGAGGAGCCAGAGGGGAGCGGAGAAGTTCACCCAGGATGCCGGCCAGTCCGAGCAACACAGTGTCCCAATGCATACGACAAATTAGAAAACAGACAGCAGGGAGTAGAAGAACCACACGCAACCTAACAACTCCTCAGGAAAAAAGCACACCACAAGAAGAAAACCACCCCCCAGATTGCAATGACAGTAACTTGGAAGAACTTCTGAGCCTTCCAGAAAGAGAATTTAAAATTGCCGTGATTAAAAAAATGACAGAACTCATAAAGGAAAACAATGATCAGAAGAAGGAAATTGAGTCCCTAAAGAGGGAAGCAAAAGAAACGCAGGAGATCAAAGAATTAATGTAGGAACTAAAGAACTCTCGGAAAAGCAATGAAAGCAGAATAGATGAAATGGAAGAACGAATAAGTACTCTTGAAGACACAGAAATAAAAAGAACCAAAACAGAAAAGGAAAGAGAAGTACGAAGGAAAAAGAATGAAGAAAGACTTCGGGAACTATCTGACTCCATGAGGAAAGGAAATATAAGAGTTATAGGAATTCCAGAAGGAGAGGAGAGAGATGTAGGAACAGAGAAAATATTCCAGGAGATAATTGAAGAGAACTTCCCAAACGCGAAGAAGGAGCTGAAAATTGATATACAAGAAGCAAGAAGAACACCAAACTTCCACGACGAAAGGAAAAATACAGCAAGACACATAATAGTAAAGCTCCCAAGAATCCAGGACAAGGAAAAAATAATGAAGCTGACAAGAGGGAAGAAACAGATAACATTCAAAGGAAAAGCAATCAGGCTGACATCAGACTTCTCTGAAGAAACACTACGGGCAAGGAGAGAGTGGAGGGACATAGTCAACAGGCTCCAAGAAAACAGATGCCAACCAAGAATACTCTATCCCGCAAAGCTCTCCTTTCTCTATGAAGAAAGAATAAGGACCTTCCCAGACAAAGAGAAACTCTGGAATTTCATTACGACTAAACCCCCACTCCAAAAAATACTACAAGGAATCCTAAAGCCAGAACCTCAGAGGGACGAATAACAATGAAAGAAGGCCAAAAAAAAAAAAAGTTATTAAAAGAATAAATAAATAAAATCAAAGGAAAGACAAACACAATGGCAAATACAAATGCTAACATATCAATACTAACTCTAAATGTAAATGGACTAAACTCTTCAATAAAAAGACAGAGTTGCAGCCTGGATTAAGAAACAAAACCCAACCTTTTGCTGTCTCCAGGAAACACATTTAGCTACAAAAGATAAAAATAGGCTCAAAGTTAAAGGATGGAAAACAATCCTACAAGCAAATGGACCAAAAAAGAAAGCAGGAACAGCTATACTTATATCAGATAAAACAGACTTCAAACTCAAAAAAAAAAAAAAGGAGACCCCAATGTTCACTACATTATGATCAAGGGGACAGTACTTCAAGAAGAAATAACACTCATTAACATATACTCACCTAATGAAGGAGCACCAAAATATATCAGACAACTGTTGTCCTCTCTGAAAACAGACATCAGAGAAAACACATACGTAGTGGGAGACTTCAACACACCACTATCAACAATGGATAGATAGATCAACAAGACAAAAAATAAGTAAATAAACTAAAGCTCTAAATAAGGACCTAGAGCATTTGGGCTTAACAGACATCTATAGAACACTAAACCCCCAAAAAACGGAGTACACATTTTTCTCAAGCGCACACGGATCATTCTCCAGGATCGATCACATACTGGGGCACAAGACAAATATCAACAGATACACCAAGATTGAAATCATGTCAGCCATCTTTTCTGACCATGAAGGCATCAAACTAGAAATAAACCATAAAAAGAAGGCAAGGAACTTTCCTACCTCATGGAGATTAAAAACCACACTACTGGAAGACCACTGGACTAATGAGGAGATCAAAGAAGAAATTAAAAAATTCTTTGAATTGAATGACAAGGAGGACACCAATATCCTAAATGTATGGGATGCAGCAAAAGCAGTAATAAGAGGAAAATATATAGCAATAGAAGCTCACATCAAGAAACAAGAAAGAACTCAAAGAAACAACCTAATCTCGAAGCTCAAAGATCTAGAAAAAGAACAACAAAAAAACCCCAAAACCAGTAGAAGAAAAGAAATAATAAAAACCAAAGCAGAAATAAATGAAATTGAAACTAAAAAAACAATCCAAAAAATCAATGAAACCAAGAGTTGGTTCTTTGAAAAAAATCAATAAAATAGACAAACCCCTAGCCAGGGTCACAAAGGAAAAAAGGGAGAAAGCACAAATAAACAGGATCACAAATGAAAGAGGAGAAATCACAACAGACACAGCAGAAATCAAAAGAATAATCAGTAACTACTATGAACAGTTGTATGGAAACAAGTTCAACAATCTAGAGATGGACAAATTCCTACAACTCTACAATCACCCAAAGCTAGATAAAGAAGAAATAGAACACCTAAACAGACCAATTACAAGCAGCGAAATTGAAATGGTAATCAAAAACCTCCCCAAAAACAAAAGCCCAGGGCCTGATGGATTTCCAAATGAATTCTACCCAACATTCAGAGATGAATTAGTGCCTATCCTTCACAAACTCTTTCAAAAAATTGAGAAGGAAGGGACAATACCAAACATGTTCTATGAAGCCAACATTACACTAATACCAAAACCGAACAAGGACAACACAAAAAAGGAAAACTACAGGCCATTCTCCCTAATGAACACTTATGCAAAAATCCTCAATAAAATTTTAGCTATCAGAATCCAACAATGTATCCATAAGATAATTCACCACGACCAAGTAGGATTCATTCCAGGGACACAAGGATGGTTCAACATCCGAAAATCAATCAACGTTATCCAACACATCAACAAAACGAAATATAAAAACCATATGATAATATCAATAGATGCTGAGAAAGCTTTCGACAAAGTGCAACACGCATTCATGATAAAAGCCCTTGAAATTCTTGGGATACAAGGAACATACCTCAACATCATGAAGGCCATCTATGACAAGCCAACAGCCAGTATCATTCTCAATGGTGAAAAGCTGAAAGCAATTCCATTAAGATCTGGAACAAGACAAGGATGTCCACTCTCACCACTGCTTTTCAATATAATACTGGAAGTCCTAGCCAGGGCAATAAGACAAGAGAAAGACATCCAAGGAATCCAAATAGGAAAAGAAGAAGTCAAACTATCACTATTTGCAGACGATATGATATTATACATAGAGAACCCCAAAAACTCCACAGAAAAGCTAATTCAACTCATCAATCAGTTCAGTAAAGTGGCAGGATACAAAATCAACACGCAAAAGTCAGTAGCCTTCCTATACACAAACAATAAATCTGAAGAAGAAGAAATTAAAAAAACCATCCCTTTTATTATTGAAACAAAAAAAAATCAAATATTTGGGCATAAATCTAACAAAAGAGGTAAAGGACCTATACAAAGAAAACTATAAAACACTGTTAAAAGAAATAGAAGAAGACACAAAGAAATGGAAAGACATCCCCTGCTCATGGATTGGAAGAATAAACATTATTAAAATGGCTATCCTACCAAAAGCAATATACAGATTCAATGCTATTCCAATCAAAATTTCAATGTCATTCTTCAAAGAAATAGAACAATTATTGATGAAATTCATATGGAATCACAAAAAACCCCGAATAGCCAAAGCTCTCCTGAAAAAAAGAGAAGGGAATGGAGGCATCACACTCCCAGACTTCAAACTCTACTACAAAGCCATAATCATCAAAACTGCATGGTATTGGAACAAGAACAGACATACAGACCAATGGAATCGAATAGAAAATCCAGAAATAAACCCACAGATTTATGGTCAACTAATCTTTGACAAAGGAGCAAAGACTATGCAATGGAGCAAAGAAAGTTTGTTCAATAAATGGTGCTGGGAAAACTGGGTCTCTACATGCAAAAGAATGAAGCTTGACCACTCTCTCACACCATACACAAAAATCAACTCAAAATGGATTAAAGAACTAGACATAAGACCTGAAACCATAAAATATATAGAAGGAAATATAGGCGAAACACTATGTGATTTGCACATCAAAGACATCTTTACAGACACATCACCCAAAGCAGTGATAGTGAAGGCAAAGATAAACAGCTGGGACTACATCAAATTAAAGAGCTTCTGTACAGCAAAAGAGATAATAACAAAAACAAAGAGAAACCCCACCAACTGGGAGAACATTTTTGCACACAACACTAATGATAAAGGACTGATCACAAAAATCTGCAAAGAGCTGATGAGACTCAGCAACAACAAAGAAAATAACCCAGTCAAAAAATGGGCAGAAGAGCTAAAAAGAAACTTCTCTGAAGAGGAAATGCAAATGGGCAACAGGCATATGAAAAAATGTTCAACATCACTTGTAATCAGGGAAATGCAAATCAAAACTACCATGAGATACCATCTTACACCAGTGAGAATGGCACATATTAAAAAAACTAGCAACAACAAATGTTGGCGAGGGTGTGGAGAAAAAGGAACTCTTCTGCCCTGCTGGTGGGAGTGCAAACTGGTCCAACCACTATGGAGAGCTGTGTGGAGATTTCTGGACCTACTAAACATAGAGCTTCCATATGATCCAGCAATTCCACTCCTAGGTATTTACCCAAAGGACACAGAAACATCCATTCCAAAGAACACCTGCACCCCTATGTTTATAGCAGCACTGTTTACAATAGCTAAGCTTTGGAAACAGCCCAAATGCCCAAAAATAGATGACTGGATCAAGAAGATGTGGTCCATATACACCATGGAATATTACTCAGCATTCAAAAAAGATAAACACATGCCATTTGCAGCAACATGGATGGCGCTGGAAGGGATCATGCTCAGCGAAATAAGCCAAAAAGAAAAAGAAAAATACCGGATGGTCTCACTCATAGCAGGAATCTAGAAAACTTAAATAAGGGACCAGGAAAATGAATAACTATAAGAAAGTGAAAATCAAAATCAACAAAAAACTATGAACCAGAGACACTTTTTGGGGGTGAGGGGCGGGAGGGGAGGGATTGGGGTCAGAATGGGGGGGCTGCAATTGTATGGGGAATATAAAAATAAAATTTATTATTTAAAAATAAATAAATTAATTTATTAAAAAAATTATTACTAACTATACTTCAGTTTTCTGATCTGTAAAATTGGAGATTATGCTCACCATCCTCGAGGGTTGTTCTGAGAATGATATGCTCATTCTCTCACTTTGTTTACAGTTATTTATTGAGAGTCTGCTTTGTGCTGTTACTGTTCTGGAGACTGGGAATGTAGCAGCGAACACAACATACAAAGACTTTTCCCTTGAAGAATTCACATTTGGGTGGCAATAGGGTGGGGGGAGGAGACTGACAATAACCCAGTAAGTACATTTAATGTATAGTATGTAGAATGATGATAAGAACTAAGAAGAAAATAAATCAAGAAGGAACATGAGAATGGGTGGCTTGGGATTGCAGTTGTGGTGCTTTTATCATATAGATGAACTTTCTATTACCTTGGTCTTCCTTGCCAGTGCCATCTCCTCCTTTCTTCCTCCTCCGTCTCCCTCTCCTCCACTGCTGCTGCTGCTGCTGCCTCTGCTGCTTCTAATTCTGCTTCTCCCTTTTCCTCCTCCTGCATAGGAAAATTGAGAGGGAAGTACACAGATTTTTCATGTACCCATCACCCCCACACGTACATAATCCCATAATAAACATTCTTCTCCAGAGTGGTACATTTGTTACAGTTGATGAACCTACCTTGACACATCATAGTCATCCAAAGACCATACTTTACTTTAAGGTTTAATTTTGAAACATAAGGTGTGGATTGTGTGGGTTTGGGCAAATGTCTAATATCATGTTTTCATCATTATGGTGTCATACAGAGTTGTCTCACTGATGTAAAAATCCTCTGTGTTCTGTGAATTTGCCTGTTAATCATTGGATAAGAACCAAGCATCCTGATTGTTGGATTGTATGATAAGCATGTGTTTAGCTTCTTACAAAAGCATGAAACCCTTCCAAAGTGACTGTGTTATTTTTGCATTCTCGACAGCAGCGAGCTAGTGTTCCTGTTGCTCCCTGCTTTCATCAGCATTTGCTATTGTCAGTGTTATGGATTTTGGCCATTCTAATAGTTTGCCTCCTCTTTTGCAGTCATCTTGTCCTCCACCCTGTCTCAGTAACTCACTTTCATAGTTGTATTCTGGCCTATACCATCACCAATAATTGTAATTCTTCTGTAATCTCAATTTCAAACAATCCACTTTCTGATAATATTCCTATCTTTTTAGTCACCCTCCCCGCCACTACCCCACTTTGGTTAATTGATTTATTACATATTGTTGTTACTGTTTTGCCCTATACATATGTGAATTTCTGCCTAAGAGGATGGGAGGGGTCTGGGTACAGTGTTGGGCCTGTAATTTTGAAACATGGAGACTGTGTGAAGCATTGGACCATATGAAGTGTTCAGGTCCTAACTTTGAATACCTAGACTGTAGGAGGACATTTGGGCTTCTGAGAAAAGAGGAAAAGGATGCAGAAAATGATGGGGGGAAGAAGTGCTTGCTATAACAGCTTTCCTTTCACTGAATTTGCCCCTTCCCTCTCTGCAGACTGATCTTTAAAAGCTCAGCTTAGAGTTGTGTTTTCAGGTGGCTGGTCCAGAAGCCTTGGGTATATGTGAAGAAGGTCTTTGAAGAACCTTTGTTACAGATATTTATACTGTGCATTTTTCTTCCTTCATTGAAGATACTAGTGGAACCATGGATCTGTTTGGAGGTGCAGATGATATATCTTCAGGGAGTGATGGAGAAGATAAACCACCTACTCCAGGACAGCCTGTTGTAAGTAAAATCACCGATGTGAACTGTGCCCTTATTTAAGGCTAAGTAAAAAGATTTAGAGGACAAGGGTCTTTTATATCAAGAATGGGAAATTGATAACTGAATTATAATATGAAAAATACAATGAACAGATAACTTTCTTACTTCTGTAGGGAGCTCTTTGTTATAGGGAAAGTAGAAATAATCACCGTAGCATATCCTTTCTATGGAATTTACTCAGCATTGAAAAGGTTTGAGCTATTGATGCATGCAATAACTTGGGTGAAATGCCAGGGAATTATGTGATGTGAGAAAAACCCAATTACAAAAGTTATGTAAGGTATGATTCCCCTTATATAACATTCTTCAGGTGACAAAATTATAGAAGTGGGGCAAGGATTAGTGGTTGCCTGAGACTAAAGAGGGACTGGGGCGAAAAGAAGTGGATATGGTTATAAAAGTGCACCATGGGGCCTCCCCTGGTGGCGCAGCGGTTGAGCACTGGGCTGCAAAGCTGCCTGCAGCCTCTGCAGCGCCGGTTCGATCCCCAACTGCCAGCGAGGGTCCCACATGGTGCACAGACCTCTCCTGCCGCGCCAGCTGCTCCCCTCAGCAGTGTATTTTGTCGGTCTGCCCTTGTATAAATAAATAAATAAATATTTAAAAAAAAGTGCATCATGAATCTGTGGTGATGGGAATCTTTTGTATCTGACTTTTGGTTGTGAACTGCATGTAGTTTGGTAAGATGTTGCTGTTGGGGATACCAAGGTGAAAGAGAGAGACATGATGCTGGTGCCCTTTAGAGACTAGATTGTGAGAACCTAAGATTTGAGAGTTATTGATTTGTTTTTCTTCCTCATGCCAAGAAGTGTATGCTATGTTAGTAATCTAATTGCTTTTAATTGGGAGTGACTCCATATTGAAGTGTTGATTAATTTCACACTTCTTTGTGAATATGTAGCAAATAGTTATAATAAAAGAGATATTTTCTTATATTGATGCTTTCCCTTGAGGTATTTTCTGAGATGGATAGGTATGGAAGGAGGTTGAAGGCTGATTTAGCCCCAAAGTGATATCTCGGTATGCTTATTGCCCATCTAGGTAAAGTGTGGAAGTTGCCTAGGCCATTTCTAAGGTCCTGTTATCAGGCACTAAAATTCTGTGCATCTTTTACTAGGATGAAAATGGATTGCCGCAGGATCAACAGGAGGAGGAACCAATTCCTGAGACCAGAATAGAAGTCGAAATACCCAAAGTAAACACTGATTTAGGAAACGACTTATATTTTGTTAAATTGCCCAACTTTCTCAGTGTAGAGCCCAGGTAAGGAGACTCAGTTAAAACTGAGTAAGATGTTGAATAGAAATGTGCAGAATATTGATGTTTTTCTTATTTTACATGAGTTAACTAATCATAAAATGGAAAATTTATCCTGTATCTGACAAAATAAATCAAGTATATCCTGTGATAGTAAAAGTATGGACTGCTGGTAAAGCAGACTTTTAATGCTTGTAATTGTTTTTAGCAGTTTGCTACTTTCTTATGAATCAACAGACATCACAAGTCTTTGAGTGTTTTTAACTAGTACAGGCCTAAAAAGGCCAAAATTGAGAGTGGCGATATTTGCTAGAGAAACTGCAAATGCCCACGGTAGCAACCATGTGGATCTAGAAAAGCTGATGTTTTGGGACATTTATACAGTTTTAATGGGTATTATTCACTAAGTAACTTGCAAGCTCTTGTGTGATTTAATTTTTCCCTAAACAAAACAATGTGGAGAGCTAAAGCATTTGACCTATTCCTTACAAGAATTATATAGTAAGAATAAAGATATCTTGAATATTTAGCCTTGCTTACACATTATTCCAAGCAATATTTATTAAATCGAATTTTAAGAAGGTACAGTAATTTGAATGTTTGTTTGAAGTTGTACATGATTTTTAATTATGATTTTTTTAGTATAATGGTCAGTATTAATAGAGATAGTTTATATAACAGTAATAATATCTCTTATAAAATATGATTAATGATTTGTTTTTTAAACAATTTGTAGACCTTTTGATCCTCAGTATTATGAAGATGAATTTGAGGATGAGGAAATGCTGGATGAAGAAGGTAGAACCAGGTTAAAACTGAAGGTACTATGAGGACACTTATTTGAGACTTGAGCTTTAGAAAATGATTTTTTATGTTTCCTGTTTTATCAACAAATGGTCTGCCTTTTCAGAATATTTTTGGAAAAAACCATATAGCTTTTTCTCTGTTGTTACTTGGTTACTTTTCTTCACTGTCATAATTTTTTGTGGGTTTTAAAAGATTTTTTATTTACTTTCTTACATCGTATTTCTCCCTTCACCATCACTCACTTTTTTTTTTTTTTTTTAAGATTTATTTATTTATGCATACAAGAGCTGGGATACGGGCCAGAATGCAGGAGGTGGGGGCGGTGAGAGGCCCCACCAGAGACAGAGTGGGGAACAGAACAGGCAGACTGACTGAAGTATACTGCTGACAGGAGAAGCGGGCGAGACAGGAAAGGTCTGCTGTGACATGTGCATTGCTTCCTGGCGGGCTGGGGATCGAACTTGTCCTCCAGAGGCTTCGGATAGCTTCACAGTGCTGTGCTTAACTCCTTGCGCCCCCATCTCACCATCACTCACTTTAAATGTTGCCAAGTTGAACATTTCCATTCCACCCCACAGTCCCCAGACTATTTTGAAACATCTCACATGACATATTTAATTGATGAATATTATTGAGTTCTTTAATCAGCCGGCTTCACAGTCACTTGTTTAGTTAAGAGGACTATTAGGACCTGGGGGCAAGGTAGTAATAGCCAAAAGAATAGAGATGTAGAGAATCTAAGTGGAAATAGTGGGAGCAGCTGCTTTTAGGGTTGGTGGTGGGGGACGAGGCATAGGGAAGCATGGGGTTAGATCTGTCATTTTTCAAAATGTTGGTTTCTCTTTGCTGCCATCTTAATTCATATTCTCTTTATCCTTGTGAGTTTATCCTCCTTGTATTGTTTACTGTCACTTTAGTGGGTTTTAGAAGGCAGCAGTGATAAACGACATGCATTTAGGATGCTGTCATTTCCCAGAAGACCCATTGAGTTTTTTAATTTCAATAGAGTGATTTTTATTTTAGGAAGCTCTTCATCATTCTCTGTATAGGCCTGGTGTTTCCCCACCATGTAGTTAAGATAAAAGTGGACTCAGGGGCCTCCTTGGTGGTGCAGGGAGTTAAGTCTCAACACTATGAAGCTATCAGTAGCCACTGCAGCACGAGTTCATTCCCCAGCCAGGGAGCTGACCCACATACTGCGACAGACCTCTCCTGTCTGCCCGCTGCTCCCCTCAGCAGTGTATTTCAATCAATCCACCTATTCTGTTCCCATTCTGTCTCTGGTGAATCCTTTGACTCACCCATCCCCCGCACCTCCGGCCTATACCCCATCTCTTGTATGCATAAATAAATAAAATAATTTTTTTTTTTAAAAGATAAAAATGGACTCTAAAACTGCTCAGACTTGGTGTTTTAATTCAAACTTTTTCCTTCCCCACATTTGGGGAGCTTCTCCATCACTCTGTTTGAGTAGGCAGAGTTTTCTGATCTCACACTTATAAAGGTTTTCGCTCCGTAAAAGACTTATTTTATATAGGAAGTTTCAGTTCTAAATTACTATTTCATGTAGCCTCAGACTTATCTCCTATCCTTACAACCCTTACTGTGTCTTCAAACATCCCCGGGCTACTGCAGATTTAGCATATGCTTAAATGCTCTGGCAGTCAGCTTCCTCAACTTTTAGCCCTGGGAGCTCAGAAATTTACTTAATCATATTTTTTTCAGTGTTATCTATTTCTCTGTCACTACTTGTATATTGTTATTCTATGATTGTATATCTCTTGAGTAAAGAAGTACAGAGTCATTTAAACTGCAGTGTTCTAAGCCGTTTGTTTTTAAAACAGGTAGAAAATACTATAAGATGGAGGATACGCCGGGATGAAGAAGGAAATGAAATTAAAGAGAGCAACGCTCGGATAGTCAAGTGGTCAGATGGGAGGTGAGCATGCAGTTGCCTGCAGCGCATTAAAATACCCAGAATGTGACTAGGAAAGATCAAGTTTTGGAATTAGGTCTTATTGGAGGGCTATCTCTTATTAAAAAAGAAATCCATTGATTAATCCCTGGCATAATATAATAAAAGTGAGGAAAATAGGTAAGCACTGAGGGTCATACAGGCTGGTGGAGACATAAAAGTAAGCTGAAAATGGGATCCTCCCCTTTGGCCAAGGTAGACAAGCTCCCCACCCCACTGCAAGCTGCTCACTGTAAATTGCCATTTTAGAAAGGCTTCACTGGGAAAGTAGTAGCCTGAGGAACTATCACAGCATGTTTTATTTATGCATAGGGCATTTTTTATTCTTCTCTTCTGAAATCTATGTAAGAAGAGAAAGCAGCAATTGAATCACATTTTAAGTACAAGGGTAGGCTGAAAGCTTTATGACTTTAAAATGTGAACTGTTGCTTCTTTTCAGCATGTCCCTGCATTTAGGCAATGAAGTGTTTGATGTTTACAAAGCCCCACTGCAGGGGGATCACAATCATCTTTTTATCAGACAAGGTACTGGTCTACAGGGGCAAGCTGTCTTTAAAACCAAGCTCACATTCAGGTAACTCTGCCTATCAGTATATTATTTGTTGTGGTAAAAGCAGCGAAATGTATGTGTTGCCCAAAATTTCTTACTCCCAATTGACATAACCTCACAGTATAGTTCTCCAAAGATCAAAATCTCTGAAGGTTCATAGACTGTTTTATCAAGTACATTAAAATTTGCTGTTTCAATTTTTCCTGTCTTACATTTGGGGCTAGTAGGGCTGACGGGGCTGATTGACTAGAAAGGACTGATGACCCAGACATTAAATTTTTTTATGTTTTCATTCAGAGGCCTCACTATTTAATAAATGGTAGTTCTTATTTTTAAACTTTGCTATTGGTTTTTAGGAAAATATCTCCTAATTTGATGGCATATACATTCGTGTAGTTTTTAATACTGTCAGAATTAAGTAAGCCATACAATTGCAGTTTATGCGTATGAAGCAATTCACTTTATTCTAAAACATTACTTGATACTTACTTTTGTAAACAAGTAGGTTGAATTAATTTATCCTCGGTCATCTTGCTTGGATACGATTTTAAGAGCTTGGTGTTTACAGACATTTGTTTTGTTATATGGCAGCAGTTTGCCATTCCTTTCTTAAAGCAGAATTTTATATTTGTCTGATAGTATGTACTGTGTCGGAGCCTATTTTATCAATAATGATGTGTAGTTAAAAAAAATAGTTGCTGCTTCTCATGGAACTAGGTCATGCGATCCAAACTTACAAGACACTATTTTGTAAACCAAAATGTGGGTTTAGTAATTTAGTGATTACTGTACCTGCCAAAAGGCCTGGACTACTTGCCAGTCAGTTGGTCCTTTCTTTTTAGTAAACTTGATCTGGGAGACTAACCGATGACTAGAGGTTGTTACTGTGATGTAATCAGAGGAAAGGCAATGATTTGGTGGGTGTGAAGGTTGGAGTCACCCATACCTTAGGCTGCTGCACTCAGTACCACTCCAGGGACGTATCTCAAGCAACCAGGATAGTCAGGTCAGCTGGTGAGGATGTTCCGGTTCTCTAGACATTCCTCTAGAACGTGGGCACTACAAGGAAATGTTTATGCTTTGCTTTTCCTGATTCGAAAGCAGGTCATCCCCTTCAGTGAGTGCTTACCTGTAGAGGGAGCACAATAATCTTGTTTATGACGCAGCTTTTTGAGAACTTTAATGTCAAAGGTGGATATTAGCATCAGCTAGCCCTACACCTGAGTCTCTTTCCACCTTGTGTGACTTTCTCAACCTCTCCTTGCCTCATTTTCCTCATCTATAAATTGTTAATACTAGTCTCAGAGTGGCTAAGGTATGAAATCAAGTAACATGTAAAACACAGAGCACAGCGTTTGGTATTTAGTATTTAGTGACTGCTGCTAGAGCCTATCCATTTATGCTGCTAGAGGGTTATTGTGTAATGCGTGATTATTGTGTAATTTTTAACTCCAGCTTTCTATTTTTCACTTTGCCAGTGAGATAAGAATATCTCAGTGAGCCGCAAATGAAAGTTGGGAACCCCTCTCCCCCATTTAGTATAACTTTAATGTCCCTTCCTATTTTGTCTAGTGAATAGGAATGGTCACTGGCCTCATTTTTGTGATTTTTTTTGGTAGGACTGCCTAACAAATGTACTTGATAAACATTCAGACTCTTTTTGTTCATTTCCTGGCAGACCTCACTCTACAGACAGTGCCACACATAGAAAGATGACCCTGTCACTTGCAGATAGATGTTCAAAGACACAGAAGATTAGAATCTTGCCAATGGCTGGTCGTGATCCTGAATGCCAGCGCACAGAAATGATTAAGGTATGCTTGCTAATAAGCTTTGTCCTGGGATTTTTGATAGGAATTAAGACTAGCATTCCCCAAATTGTTTGTTCATCATCTTATTGATCAACGTTTTCTTCTTCCATTTGACATAAAAAGGGAGCTGGTTTCGTTTCCTAAGTATTTGCTGCACAACACATGACACTGTCATGACTGTAAAACAAACAGAGGGGCCTCTGCTTTTCCCCTCAGTGCCTCAGCACTCAGCAACAAATGGTGACTGGAAAGAGCTGGACTTTCATAGAAATTTTCATATGTGATTTAATCACTGTTGTCTGATTTAGGGTATCTGAAAAATTAATGGGAAGGCTAGAGATTTAGCCTAAAATGGAGTAAGAGTAGACCAGGCATTTGAATGGGAGAGTGCCTAAAGGAGAACTAAGAAAAGAGGAGGTTGTGGTTTCTAAGATCACTTAATAATGTTCTACTTGGTAGGTTTTCATTTTTGACTGTCATTAGCCACAAGCCAGTCTGGGGCAGTGTCTCTAAATGGTAAGTGTACATGTTTCCACACCACTGGACTTTCTTCCAGCACTGATTTAAGAAGCTGAATGCAGTGGTGCAGCCTCATTATCTCCCCTGTATTCTGCTAGATCTCCGCCATTGCTTTGCCTTCTTCATGCGTTTTCATTCTTTAGTGTGACAGGACTGATGAGGCTGACACTCTGGTTGCCTCGGGACTTTTCTTATTCCTGTCACTGTCAAGCTCGGCTGAAGGTTTAGTCCTAGGCTCTTGCTTTTTGTTCCACCTTATATTTTGTTCCTGGAGACTGGTTAGTTAAACCAGATTTAGGAGTAATCCCTAACCCAGTGGTGTATTGGGGAATTGGCTTTGGAGTCTTAACTTACTGCTCCACTCCCCACCTTTTCTGCTCAAGATAGTGGAGCCCAGGGCCCTGCAGGCTCCCACTCAAAGAGCATGACTAAAGAGCCCTCTGGACCTCCTCAGTGATTCCCCAATCCCTCCTCCACCTCTTCAGCTTCTGTGGAAATAAGCCCAATCAACTAGATTGTACTTGAGTCCCTGTCCCACTGATAGTGATTTTTACTCTATATTCAGCACAACTATTTACTGCTTATTGAAATCATTTGCAGCACCTAACGTCTAACAGCAGAATTAGAGTTGTATGCAGTAGTACAGAGCAATTCAGTGAGGGAGTCAAATGCCAAAACCTGGCTCCTTGTATCCTGTCCCTGCCTTGTGTGGAATGGAAGGCAGATGGAAGGAAACGAAGGCTCCACTTTGGGGCCTCCGTTCCCTACCGGCACCTCCCCATACTGTCATCAGGAGCTGTAGAGGGAACTCTCTGGGTTGAGGGCCACAGACAGGACTATCTGGGCACCGTGGCAGTTTGGTGGAGCTGGGCGAGTCACTGTCTGCACCTTAGGAATGAACAGAAACAGCCTCCCTCAGGCCTCCGCTGGGCCTGGCTAAGCTTCCTCAGGCTGCTGTCGGGCTCTTGACTGGCAGCACAGAGGTCAGTGCAGCTCCCAAAGCCACTCCTGCCAGTTCTGACAAGGCACATAGTGTGCCCTGCACCCTGTGTTGTCTTCACTCCTTCAAATGCAACAAGCTGACCCCTGTGTGTGGTAACAGGTGAGACAGGGCAATGTAGGAAATAGGTGTTATCCTGGGCCAGGGATATACATGTTCTTTAAAGAAAAGTAGGTTCAAATGGACACAAAATTAGTACATTTTTATAATAAAATAATTTGTTTCTTCGCAGAAAGAAGAAGAACGTTTGAGAGCTTCTATTCGTAGGGAATCTCAGCAGCGCCGAATGAGAGAGAAACAGCACCAGCGAGGGCTGAGTGCTAGTTACCTAGAACCTGATCGATATGATGAGGAGGAGGAAGGCGAGGAGTCCATCAGCTTGGCTGCCATTAAAAACCGATACAAAGGGGGCATTCGGGGTGAGTCTGGTGTAGAAATTAAAATTCATCATTTCAGGGTTCAGAAATTTTTGTTTGCATTGAGTATAAGCTGAGTGCCCAATCACTGCACCGGAGCTTATATTTTTGAAAGAAATCAGTGTTAATGAGTGATGCACTTTAAGGTCTAATGGACTAGTCATTGCAGAAGTCTTCCTGGTGAGCTTGAAAGGTAGAAACAGCTATTGGTGCCCACTGTCAGCCTCATCCCTTGAGCTGCTTCTTTCTGATTTACAAGTTTGCTGATAAAATTTGGAACTTTGCTCAACTTTTTTTAAACCAATTAGGAAACTAGATTAAATTATTCAGAGAATATATGGCATATCCTTTCAGAATTCTCCTTTGCATGTTCTCTTTCACAAATACCAATAATTTATGATGGCCAATTTTGCATACATCCTATTTGATGTAGTAATGACCCATTACTGTTAGTGCCCTCGTTCTTACTGAGAAACATGAGATTTTGAAATGCTGAGTAAATTGTCCAGAGACACATAGTTGAAAGTGGGTAATTCTTGAACCCAGGTCATCTGACTTGAGATGTCTGCCTCAACCACAGTGCTGCACCCATGTGGTTACCCCCAGCAGTGTCCCCACAGGCAGCACAAGGTGACATGCCAAAAAGCAAAGTAGACCTGAAGGTAGAAGACTTGGGCAAGATCCTGATCCTGTCTGCTGATCTCAGCGCTGCCACTTTTTGACTCATTAGGAAAAGAGCAAACTATTAATAGTAATACTTATAAACATGAGGTTGTTTTGAGAATTAAATAATACAAATAATTTGCCCAGTCATTGACACATAACAAAACTAAATAAATGTTACCTAATCTGTTGTTACTACTCATTCTTCTCATCGCCTTTGGGAAAGTGGCTTCATATTTCTGAATATTTCATATGCCTTGTCTATAACATGAGTTTCTAATACTCTCCAGCTTTGATAGAGCTTTGTAACATATACTTTTGTGTAATCATATATCTATCTTTTGTCCTGTTGGATGGTAAATTACTAAAAGACCCACATTTCCCTTTCTCTAGCCATCCTGTAAAATGCCTTTCTCTTTTTCTTGTAGTGACTGTATTTGTTCCGTATTTGTTCTACCTACCTACCCATTACTTATTTTGAAGTTGTATTATAGAACCTTTTCTTAATCTATTTTTTGCTAGTGCTAAATTTCTGGCAGATATAGAATTATTATAAAAAGGAACCACATAAAAACTGAATTAAACAAAAAAGTTGATGCTTTTAGGAGAAAGTTATAGAATACTCAATTTATCAGAGATTAAAAAGTAGTCAGATAGGCAAGGAATGAGGAGAATCTGTCTTTGAAAAGTCACTCACAGTCTAATTCCTTTTCTCTCAGAGGAACGGGCCAGAATCTATTCCTCAGACAGTGACGAGGGATCAGAAGAAGATAAGGCTCAAAGATTACTCAAAGCAAAGAAACTCAACAGTGATGAGGTAAAGCCAAATCGATTCAGTTTTAGGGTTTTCTTGCCCCTCAACCCTGGAGCCAACTCCTGGAATCAAGAGGAGCTCACAGCTCAGGCACAAACAGCCAGAGCTCAGCAAGATAATGCAGGGACAGGATGAGGGGGTGCCCGAGAGGAGTCTGACAACTGTGCTGGGTGGCTGTTGGAAGACTGCCCACAGGAGACCTCTCTGGCTGTTGAACAAAGTGCTAGCTTGAAGGGCACAGAGGCCAGGGTGGGCATGCCTGGTAGATAGAAAGGCCTGGGTGCAAAGATACCAAGGTTCAAGTAGAAAACTTGGTCATTCAGTGTAGGCAATTCAAAGCATGCCTCATTCTTATGGTAGGAAAAAAAATTTAAGTGTTTAGATGAAAAATTTTAATTTTTTTAATGAGTAATTCAATAAAAATAAATTTTCATTTATTATTGAAACAAATTTTTCTTAGTTTAATTGCAATAATTTATATTTTTCACAGTATCCTTTTCAAATTTTAGGAGTACAGATGTTTGAAATTGGAAGTTATGCTTACAGTCATTTTAGAGCATGAATTGGTAAATTATATCCCATTGACCTAAACTGGACTGCCATCTGTTGTTTTGTTTTAATTTTTTTTTAAAAGATTTATTTATTTATTTGTTTGTTTGTTTATTTATTTATTTATACATACATACAAGCACTGGGTACAGTCAGAAGGGCGGAGGGTGAGAGAATTCACCAGAGCCAGAGCAGGGAGCAGAGCAGGCAGAAGGACCGAAGTACACTGCTGAGGGGAGCAGCGGGTGGCAGGAGAGGTCTGCGCGCCATGTGGGACCCTCCTCCCGTGGCTGGGGAGCAGCTGGGGATCGAACCGGTGCTGCAGAGGCTGCGGGCAGCCTCGCAATCCAGCGCTCAACCGCTGCGCCACCGGGGAGGCCCTTGTTTTAATTTTAATCAAAATCCACCCATGCTTATTTGTGTATTGTCTGGTAGGTTTCCTGCTAAAGTGGTAGAGTTGCATAGTTCCAACAGAAACTCTGTTTTATAAAATCTGAGACATGTATTATCTGACCCTTTACCAAAAATGTTTGCTGGAAGAGATGGGCCTGCTTACTGCTGGATCAAGTTTACATTAAAGTTATAATTCTTTGGGATTAGCTATTAATCTATTCCAGTGGGCCTTTGTCTCCTGTCCTTACCACCCTGCAAGGAGTTTTCACACAGTTTGGTGTCCTCACGGAGGAAGCCTGCTTTACCTCTCTGAGGTAAAGCTCTCACTTAATTTTTGCTCTCACTTAATTTTTGGCTTCCAATTGTACCTTATTTTCTTATCACATTAATTTGTTTATATTATCCCATCATTATTATTTATTCTCATTAAGAGAGTTAAAGGATTGTTCAACCATATTGCAGGAAATACTGTGTTCCTATTATGCATTATTTTAATATATTTTGATCATTTGGCCTTCTGTGAACTGAGCTTCTGTGAGCTCTTTTCTCGATTGCAGCAGAGTTAATTTCTTGCATTACTATTTACTAGTCACAACGTTTAACTTGCCAGTTATTCTTGGAAGTGGCATGCTATATGGAAGATAACTAGACAGAAATTGTTAAATTATTCTGCACCATATTTGTTTTAAGTTAGATAGGAAACATTAATGACACATTTACAGTGTGTTGAACTGTTGGCAAATGGGAATCCTCATCTAAGCAGATGCTGTTTTATTTCTTGGCAAGCAGAAGCTGTGTATGAAAATTGAGAAATGCAGTGGAACTTTTGTTCATTCCCAGTATTCTCACAAATGAGATTTTTCAATGTGCTCAATCAGATAGCCGCCTCGGCTGGGGCATGACAGACCATTGGAAACTGTGAAGCATAGAAAATGGTTCCTTTATAGGAACTACCCTCTACTTCCCTTGCCCAAAACCTGTTAGGTCTTTCTGTACCCTTCCCCTCCCCTGTCCTGATAGCAAAAATTTTACTTCTGCCTGCATCTACTCACCTCACCCCCGCCACTACCTCCTGCTATTATTTTAATTCAGGTCCTCACTGCAGGTTACAGTGGAAGGGGATGCCAGGGGTGACCCATGCTCTGGGTTCCCCTCCTGATTTGTACCTCTAAACCTCACCCAAACACCATGAGCCCAGGTATGCCTCTTAGATACAGGGGAGTTTTCATACCCTGAGTTCCCACACCAAAGAAAACCATTATTTCTAGAGCATTTTTTGATATGGGGGAAAAGACGTGAGTCTGGATTCGAACAAACTTGAGGCTACCCTTTACCATGCGTGTGGCCTTGGGCAAGTCATGTCATGTTTCTGAGTCTGGTTCCTTAAATGTCCCATGGGGTTTCTGCTTGCTGCCTTGCATTGTAGTAAATGACAGACATAGACGTGGATGGTGCAGTGATGTGTAGCAGACTGAACAGGAGATGCTAGTTTCCTTCCCTCCTTCCCCAACAGAGTTGAAGTTACCAAAAAAAGAAAAAAAAAAGAAAAGAAAGCCTTTTTTCCTTCATTTTTAGTAAAAGACCTAAGTGGAAAGAAACAGGGAGATAACGAAAGGGAAGGTGTGAAGGCTGCCCTCAGCTTGCTTAGACCAAAGACTTGACTGCCTGGAAGGGTGACTTAGAATGTGGTGCCCAGGGGTATGGCCCCTCTCCTAGTCTGTCCTCTGTCAGTGCTCCCTCCTGGAACCTCCATTCCCCCTTGGCAGGCCTTCCTTATCTGTGAGAGTTCCCCCTCCTTTGTTTAGAGGGCCACTGGTGACTTGGAAGCTGGACAATCCCAGCCCACCTCCCCTCAGTGGAGGAGGTCCCTGTTGGGGGAAGGAGTAAGGCACGTCTCATGATTGAGATGCTGAGTGTCTTTTTCCTAGAAGCCTTGACATTCTTAGTTGTTGGTCTTCTACTTTAAAACAACATAATTTATGTTATTTGAGAGATATTTTGGGTTAAAGCCTGGGAGTTGTTTTAAATATTTGTTTGGGGGGAAAAAAAAGTGAGTTTTATGATTAGTCTGTAAAGTAAATGTTGGAAGACACTTCCTTTGCAACTGTGAGCCCCTGTGTCTGCATCTGCAGGGACCTGCACTCATGACTATATTAATAAGCTTTGTTTTAGTGTAATAAGAATATTTCTGTCATTTGTTGCATATGTATACGTCTAGTGAGGCAGAAAATTCCACATTCCTAATTTCACAAAATGAGAGCTCCTGAAGAATTAATTTCACTACTTTCTAAACCCTGTGAGTAGCAGCAGACTTGCTTATCTTTTTGAGTGCTTACCTGTAGCTGTTGGGGATCCAGTTCTGGCAGGATTTCCAAGGCAGAGTTCTGGAGCGTCTTACCACAGATAGGGGTTCAGAATTGTTACCGATGAGACTTCTTTGGGGAAATCGAGATCATATCCTGCCTGCTGCTAGGCCCTGTCCAGGCTCCACTGTCTTTTGGAAGTTCTTTTATTCACTCAGATTTAAACTCATTAAGCCCATATACATTGAGGTTTACTCGGGGAAGGTTGTCCAAAATTGGCTTACATGTAAAGTTTTAAGACAGATTTCTTTAGTTGAAAATAAAAGACAGCTGGTAGGATTGTGCTCGTCTTTGCTACATGGAGTTGAAGACAAGTTTCTGGGTTTGCTCTGGATTGGGAGGTAGAGAGGCATGATGGTCCCATTTGGGACAGATTCATCTTCTATACTGTGGTTTGGGTGACTTCACTGCCACCAGTTGCAAAGTAAGTGTAGGAAAACTTCAAATCTCTTATGGTGGATGCATAGCTTTCCCCTTCAAATTTTTCTATGGCCCTTCAGGTCTGTAGGAATGCATTGCAGATAATAAGACAGGGAACACATGTGACATAATAACGTGTTCCTCAGAGGCCCAGGCATAGGCACCAGCGGAAAAGAAGGTGTGTACAGGTTGCAGTCTACGTCCAGAAGCATCCCATGTAGCACAATGCCTGACCTCCCCCAGCTTTAACCCTCAAACTGTTCACCCTGTTTAATTTTTGGTGAGTCAAGTTAAGGTCATTCTGGAGTGTCCTTTTAAGTGTCAGTTCATTTTAGTCAATATTCATTGTCATTTAGATGTCGCTATGTTCAGATTCTACATAAAAGTTGTTTTGGGTTAATTGCCCAAATTTGTTTTTATTAGAACATCATGCAGGATGATTTTTAGCAATGGAAACCTGTGTATAGAGGCCTTGAATGTCTTCAAATATGTTTTTTAAAACCCTCATGGTAAGAATTTTCAGTACATCCAGCACAAGAAATCATTATTTTGAAAAACTTACTGTTTCTATAATGCTGAAGTTTAAAGGAAGTAAAATCCCAAGTAAGCCAAGAAAAAAGTTGAAGTAATTTCCCAATCATGGTAAAATTATTCAACAGAACAAGTGCTTACGCAGGCAAAACTTCTTGGGAGAGCCCTGACCCTTCCCAGGGCAAACCCCCTTTCCAGTTTCCTATTTGTCTTCCTCCCTGGTGCAAAGGCTTCCATGTGAGAATCTGGTTACAACTGCTTCAGCTCTCCCTCAATTCTGAAGTTGGGTTTTATAGTCCGTTTGTAGTTACTTTGCACAGTTGTCATTTTTGAAGGCCTCTAGTTACTTCTAGGCTTGGAAACTGGCCGTGGCCTTGACCACTGGTTTTATCTAGTGGATGCTGTTACAGTTATTTGGGTGGGAGAGATTTCTGAGGGTCAGTCAACTCAGGAATGAATGCTAAACCTTCCTAGAAATATTTCCTACTGACTATGATTTTTTAAAAATATTACCTATTTAGGAAGGTGAACCTTCTGGAAAGAGAAAAGCAGAAGATGATGATAAAGCAAGTAAAAAACATAAGAAGTATGTGATCAGTGATGAAGAAGAAGAAGATGATGATTGAAGTACAAAATGTGAAAACATTTTATATACTTTATTGTACAGTTTGTTTTATATGGTGTAAACATGAGTTATTTTGATTGAAATGAATTGATTTCCTTTTGTGTAATTTTAATTGTAATAAAAAAACTTAAAAAGTGAGTCTGTTCCAATAATCGACTTTTCCCAAAGCAAGTTGATTATGTTAATACTTTAGAGAGTTGTAGGTGTCAGTGAATTCCCAGCTGCTCTGCGCCACCCTCTCCCTCCCATGCTCTGTAACGAAGCCTCCTGGCCAAGGCATTCTTAGGTGTAGGGTTTAAAGGGGCACAAAAGGAGCCATTATAATTATATTAGTACCACAAACTGGGTGGCTTAAAACCACCTAAGTCATTCTGTCACCATCCTGGAAGCTGGAAGTACTAAACCACAGGCAAGGCCACACTCCCTCTGAAGGTTCCAAGTAGAATCCTTTCCTCACTTTGCCCTAACTTCTGAGAACAAAATACCAAATGTCTCCTGGCCATTCTTGGCTTGTGGCATCATCCAGCCAGTTCCTGCTTCTGTTCTCATATCGCTGATTTAGCTACATGCCTTTCTGTTTGTCTCTAGCTCTCCCTCATCTTATGATGACATTAATCAGTGGAGTTAGGGTCAACCCTAATCCGACATGACTGCATCTTAACTAACTACATCTGCAGTGACCCTATGTCCGAATAAATTCACATTCTGAGAAGACATGAATGGGGAGAGGGAGGAGGTGTCACTTGTAGACCACTACAGCAGTCAAGATAAAAATATAATACAGAATTTTAAAAGATCAAAATTAATACCCAAAAAATACATGTGAATACAATGTCAACAATACAAAAAGTTGGAATCTGACAGGACAGGGATTAAAGTAAGGCAAATGAGGAGAGTTATACAAGTCCAGAGCTAGAAGTTCTCTTTAAAATTTGGTATTTTCATGGGTCCAGAATCTTCTCTGGTCCACCCTGGGAAACACTTTTAGTGAATGGTATGCTAATTTCCCATGATAAAGCCACTACAGCATTTTATTTTCTTAAATATCTAGATAGTTTCTGACATTTCACCTACATTTAGTGTAGGTCACTGTTGATTCCAGGATACAGTCAACTAATGTAAGCAAAAAATTAAAACTCTCCAGGGATCCTCAAGCCAAAACAAAGAATCCAGAATCTCTGGTAAGTGCATCTATGATAAATTCCTGCAGTGAAATTGTGTTTCTCCAACACTGAGCTCAGAATTCATCCTGGCATGAATTCCTTGAATAGTTTTGGCTATAAGCCTTCTTTTCCCTACTTCAACTTTGTAATCAGGACACTAGGGAAAGTTAAGATCAATTCTGAAAATAGCTGAAAGCAATGAGGTAGTAGAGATGGGGCATAATGAAAATTATTATCATCCTGAGAGGTAAACCTTTGAGGTGAAGTTATTATGAGGTCTCTAAGCAGTTCATGACCAGCCTCATCGAAAAAAAAAAATAAATAAATAAAATTTGGTATTTTGTTCTCAGATTTTTTTTTTTTTTTGCATGAAATTTTAAAAAATATGCACTATAATACTTATCTTGATAGCTGAGGTTTTGGGGCCCCTGCTATTTTTTTCCCGGGGTGTCTTACCTGCTGCATCCTAGTCCTTACTGCTTTCTCTCAGCTGCTGGCCAAGTCCAAAGATGAGCGCAGGCAAGTGAGCTAGAAAGAAAGCTGCATTGCCTTTTCTTGGTATTACTTTTTATCACCAGCATTGAAAGTCATGTAGCATCAAATCAAATCCACAATGAGATATCACCTCACACCAGGTATTGTTAAAAAAACTAACAACAAATGGCGGGGATGTGGAGAAAAAGAACCCTTTTACATTGCTGGTGGGAATTCAAACTGGTTCAACCACTATGGAAAGCTGTCTGGAGGTTCCTCAGTCTACTAAAAATGGAGCTACCATAGGACCCAGCAATTCCACTCCTAGGAATCTACCCAAAGGGTACAACAACATTAATTCAAAAGGAAACCTGTATTGCTGTTTATTGCAGCACTATTTACAATGACTAACATGGAAACAACCTAAATGGAATACAGATGGCTGGATCAAGAGATATGGTATAGGGCCTCCCCGGTGGCGCAGCGGTTGAGCGCTGGGTTGCGAAGCTGCCCGCGGCCTCGGAGGCGCCGGTTCGATCCCCGGCTGCTCCCCGGCCACCGGAGGAGGGTCCCACATGGCGCGCAGACCTCTCCTGCCACCCGCTGCTCCCCTCAGCGGTGTACTTTGGTCCTTCTGCCTGCTCTGCTCCCGGCTCTGGCTCTGGTGAATTCTCTCACCCTCCCGCGCTTCTGACTGTACCCAGTGCATGTATAGACAAAAACAAACAAACAAACAAATAAATAAATAAATAAAAAGATATGGTATATATACACAATGGAATACTATTCAGCAATCAAAAAAGATAAACTCATGATATTCACAGTAACATGGATGGAGCTAGAAGGGATTATGCTCAGTGAAATAAGCCAGAAGGAAAAAGAAAAATATTAGATGATATCATTTAAAGGAGGAATATAAGGAAACCAAACATAAGGTTAAAAAACCAGATTGTAGGCAACTATACATCTGAGGCTTAAAGCAGTGAGGGGGAGAAAAAGGGATCAAAACAGGTGGGAAGAGCACGAAGGACCACGTGATAGTTCACAGATGACATGGTGGGGGATATTTATGTGAACTACACCTGAAGGGAGAAATCAAATACTGTAAATATATGAATGACAATGTGAAAAATTTTTTTTAAATTAATTTTAAAAAAAGGTGGTGGGGTGTCACACAGTATCACTTCCACCACATTCTGTTCACTAGAACTGAGTTACTAATGTGAACTCATATGTAGAAGAAGGAAAATCTGGTTTTTCTTGAGGGGAAGAACGGCAAAGAATTTGTAGATGTTTTAAATCCACCACACGCTTACTTGTCTTTTCTGTGGTGGTCTCCACACACTAATCTTTCCGTAAGAACAGTGTTTACCTCACTTTCTACTGTCGGTACAATCTGGGTGCCATGGGAGTCCTACATGTTTGCTTTGCCTGTTGCTCCCTGTTAGGGGGCGCTAGAGAAAATGGAAGCCTGGGTAACAAGCTTGCTGGGAAAAGCTTGCTTCTTCCTGCTTTTGTTTCTAGAGCTTTCTGAGGGCTTCGTGTTGACTAGAAGTTTTTCAGGAGGCAAGGGGCAACACATGCCAGCAAAGGCAGTTCTTTCCCACAGTAACAACCCCATTTGCATTATAAGCACTTGCCACACCAGCTTTGATGTATTCCCCAGAGAGACTTCACTGGCAGTCAGACATTTCTCTCACAGGTATGAGTTTTGGTTCCAAGGGTCTCTTTCTATATGTCTTTAATAATTCTACTTTTTCCCTGTTTCCTCATGTCTAGGAGTGGAAGTTTTTCTCTGTATTTGCTATTTCTGTGATCCCTCAGAGTTCTCATTTTACACTTTTCATAACCAAATCAACTTTAAACTGAATTGTGATTTTTAAAAATTCTGTCTATAGACAACTGGTATGTTTTGTGTTGCCCAACTAGAATGTGGCTGAATAGTCCAGGGACCAAACCCTCAGAGATGCGTTTGGATTTCTTTGGGTTTGACAGCAGTAATGAGATTCTCACCAGTAGGTGATCCATGGGGTGCAGTGGCATTGTAATGCATCAGATTATGTATCCTCAGCCCCATGGGTGAGGACTCAAGTGGCTGCTACACTTGTTAGGCAGTATAACCGCTGTAAAGAAATGGACACTTCTAGGTGCCCTGGAGAATTTAGAGAAAGAAAATTATAAACTTAGGGCTTTAAACATTCAGCTCAAGTCTTAGTCAGAGAATGAGCAGGTTTCCTTGATATCGTATAACCAAAGGTCTGAGGTAGCTGAAAACCAAACACAATGTTTAATTGTATGATTACAGAATTACCTCAGCTGAATTCACAGCCTCTTCCAGTGTCTCGAGAAAGGACATGACATTTCCCAGTCATTCTGAGTCTTTCGTGCCTGGGAGAAGCAACTTGCTTCCCCACGTCTGAGGAAACTAGTCTTCTCTTGCTTAAAAATGCTGTAATAAAATCATCTGGGACACTGTCCATGCTCCTCAAGATCCACCTGACTGAGTACCATCTGCCCACATTTTAGCCAACAGACCCATCACTAAGATTTCATCATGCTCCAGCAAAGCAAGCACAATCCCTGAAGAAGAAATAGCTTATACACCAAATAAAATTTTAAAGATTTTGTTAATAAATACAGAAGCCTGGGGAATATGTGTGGAAGTATAGATACTAAGAATGTGAGATGAAGACCAACACGTAACACTGGCTTGGGGCAAATGTGTTGATGTGGGTGCAGTTACATTTTCTGGACTTGTGTTAGTGCACATACCTGGACAGGTCTCTATATTTGGTTGGTTAACTAAAATTTAAACTTAGTGGTAGCCTATATTTATAGAAAGTAAGATACCAGAGGTTTCCTGGCATTACATGGAGGGAATCCAAAGGTTTAGGGAGTTAGGAATATTGGAATAATTGATTTTGTGTGATCTGCATACCAGCCTTCACCTTGCCCACAAAATAAAGAAAATAAAACAATGTATATCTTTATGGAGAACAATGTTTAATAGGCAGTTCTATTGTTAAGGACCCAATATTTAAAATTCATGGTTAAAAAAAAATGTGTGTATAAAGTTTTTTGGGCATTTTATTTTATTTATTTATTTTTTTAAATAGAGGCATGTTTTATTTATTTATTTATTTGTTTTGTTTACACATGCACTGGGTACAGTCAGAAGCGCGGGAGGGTGAGAGAATTCACCAGAGCCAGAGCGGGGAGCAGAACAGGCAGAAGGACCGAAGCACACTGCTGAGGGGAGCAGCGGGCGGCAGCAGAGGTCTGCGCGCCATGTGGGACCCTCCTCCAGTGGCCGGGGAGCAGCCGGGGATCGAACTGGCGCCGCAGAGGCCGCGGGCAGCCTCGCAACCCAGCGCTCAACCGCTGCGCCACCGGGGAGGCCCTTTTGGGCATTTTAAAGTGATTAATCTGAGAACAAAGCCTCTCACATCTAAGTCATGTCAACATGATCCAAAGTTACATACTTTTAAATTTTAAGGTTTTTTATGTATCAAAACTTTTTAAAGATTTTTTTTTTATTTATGCATGCAAGAACTTGGGTGTAGGCCAGAGGTGTGGGGGTGAGAGGATTTACCAGAGACAGAGTGGGGAGCAGAACAGGCAGATCTACTGAAATACACTGCTGAGGGGAGCAGTGGGTGAGACAGGAGAGGTCTGCTGTGCCATGTGGGTCAGCTCCCTGGCCAGGGATAGAACTCATGCTGCTGTGGTTGGCAATAGCTTGAGAGCACTGAGACTTTAACCCTGTGCCACCAGGGAGGCCCTATATATCAAAACTTTAAATAAAAACTGTTAACTCTTCAAGAAAGTCAACAGTGGGAATTAACAATGTTTAGAAGAAAAAATCAGGAATAAAATGGGTCTTTGAAGAAAAAATCAGGAATAAAATGGGTCTTTGTCTGGCAAAGTCAATTCTATGTCTAAAATTCCTTTTCTCTCAGAGGAAAGGGCCAGAATCTATTCTTCAGACAGTGAAGAGGGATCAGAAGAAGGTAAGGCTCAAAGATTACTCAAAGCAAAGAAACTCAACAGTGATGAGGTAAAGCCAAATCGATTCAATTATAGGGTTTTCCCCTATCCCAGGAGCCAACTCCTGGAATGAAGAAGAGCTCACAGCCCAGGCACAGACAGCCGGAGCTCAGCAAGATAAATGCAGGGACAGGATAAGGAGGGGCTCAGAAGGGGTCTGACACATATGCTGGGGTGGGTGTTGGAAGACTGTTCCGAGAAGGACCTCTCTCTGGCTGTTGGAGAGAGTGCTAGCTTGCAGGGCACGGAGGCCAGGGTGGACATGCCTGGCTGATGGAAAGGCCTGGGTGCTAAGGTACCAAGTTTGACTAAAGAACTACAAATAAGTTCAGCATGATAAAGGAAGAGGCCTATCTTGTTCATGATGATAACTGGACATCTTTATTGTCTGGGTATAATAGTAGTTGAGGGTTATTTCATTGCGTTATTATTTTCACTTCAATTATTTCCTTTTTTTCCACATAAAAGATCCTAAGTGCAAGGAAACTTTTAAGTCTTAATTACACAAGCGAATCATTATTATCATCATATACCATGTTCATTCAGTCAACAGTTCCTGAAATCTTAACATGCTCCAATCTAGGTTCTTCAGATAGAGGACCAAAATATCCAGTTGGTCACCTGGGTAAGGGAAGCATTCATTTTTCATATAGAAATATACCTATTTAATACTTTAGAAACAATCCTTGTTTAAAATCCACAGGCTTTAAAATACTGATTTTTTTTTAGAGAAAATAAATTACTGAGGAAGCAGAGGAATGTATTAAGAAGTATGATAGATGCTCAGCAAAGTAAGTCAGAAAGAAAAAGAAAAATACCAGATGGTCTCACTCATAGCAGGAATTTAGAAAACCTAAATAAGGGACCAGGAAAAAGACTAATTAATACAAAGTGAAAATCAAAATCAACAAGCAACTATAAACCACAGACACACTAACCCAGGGGTGGGGGGGCTTCGAAGAGGGGCGGGGAGAGGAAGGACTAGGGTCAAAATAAGGGGGGGTGCAATTGTATGGGGAACATAACCAAAATGAAAATGCATACATTGTGCAAAAATGAAAAATGATGTAAGAATTATATAAAATAAAATATTTTAAAAAATGAAAAATGATGTAAAAAATATATAAAATAAAATTTTTTAAAAAAGGGAAAAAAAAAAAGAAGTAGGATAGGAATCCTGGTCAGTAGAGAAGGAAGTATCCCTCCACCCCTGATGCTGCCCAGGGTAATAAGCCAGGTTCCCACTGCCTGACCTGCTGCAGACAGTGTCTGAGGGCAAAGGTCGCTGCTAGGTGGTCAGGTTCAGCCGGCTTCCCCACTGCCAGCTCAGAACCATTTTAGACAAAATTTCCAGAAACTTTGGATATTGAGTTTTACATCTTAACTCTCTTTTCAGTACAGAAGGTGCACTCTCCAGAAAGAGGAAAGCAGTGGGTAAAGAGGAAGAAGAATGAAGCATAAAATGTACACTTACTGTATCCAAGTTTGCTTTAAAACAAGGATGAAAGGACTTGTTTTCATTGGCTTGAATTGAGTTGCTTTTGCACTACCCTGGCTGTGAATAAAAAGGTTACAAGCAAATCTGTGACTAAAAGGTGTTTATTCTTCCCAAAAAAGTTTATATTTGATAACTTAGCTCTGGGTCTTAGGTATTTGTGCCATCTTGCTACTCTGCCCCAATCCTTCTCCTGGCCCAGCACAGATCAACTCAGGTATATCACCTCCAACAGGTTGTGCTGTCTATCCTGCCTAGCTGGGGTTGGAGTCCTTCTGTGCAGTACCAACCCCTGTCTAGGTGCTCTTTCCACTATGTTGTGTTCCAGGTTGGGAGAGCTCACTGGCTACTATGTTTTGTCAAGGGCTGCATAGGCCTCACCAATTCTAACCCTCAGAATAACTCAAAGGGCAGTATAAATGTGATTCCCATTTACAGAGGTGGACACTCAGGTTTAAAGAGTTTCTTTGTCCAAGGCTTTTCCCCCCTAAACAAAAATCAAAAATTTTTGAGACAAGGGTCAGGGTCCTGGGTGCACAGCAATCACAGTACTGAGCCAGTGTATCAGTGACAGACACCCAAAATACCTATCCTGAGATAAAGGGCCACTATAGATTTAGAGAAAAGAGCAACAGGAAACAACAGATTTCACTTCTAGCTTTGTGGCTGGTACAGCAGCTGGAACACAGAAGATACCTAATATTTATTTATCAAATGACAAACCAACAGTGTTATCTTTGTCAAGTTACTTAACTTCTCTGCAGTCAATTTTCTCAACTCAGGTTTTAGATTTGACTATGGAAATCTGTTGAGTACAAATCAGATGTTTAAAAAAAAAAAGTTAAACAGAAATGACCAAAGAAAAATAGGCCCATCATCTCACCATGCAGAAAATCTGGATTTATATTATATGTCCCTCTCTTTGATACACTTCAAGCCTAATTTCATGGTTGTAAAAGCCATGAAATCCAAAATTAGCATTAGCTCCTGAAAGGAAACTTCAGAGACTCATTTAGAACACTGAGACATTAAGGAAGGCTTACGGTAAGGCTGACTAGTCTTCATATGGGGCTGGCCTTAAAGCTCTGTCTGCAAATAAAATGGGGGCAGGGAGTAGAGGAGTCAGCTTGGGATCTGGGATCTCTAGGCCCTTAATCTTTGCAGGTAGGCAGGCAAGCTTAAGATGTCTGGCCATTTTGAACCCACATGTGGTCAGCCTTCACCACTGTAGGGTATTTAAATGAGCCGGGTGCCACTGAGCTGAGCATGAGGGGGCCCTGTATCCTCACTGCCACATTTCCTGGCACCCACATCTACTTGGATTCATGGGAGCTGGAGTTACCTGACAATTCAAGCACCTGAACCTCCATCTTGCCAAAAGGGACAGGCATCAAGGAAACTCGTACGTGACTGTCAACAGCCATCCTTGGTAGGCCAGCCTACATGAAAGATTAAATGGGAATTTATTTATGCCACTGCATTTCAGAACTCTGAATATGTAACATTAAATTATTTGACACTTATCCGTAAGTGTTATTCATCAAATTCATTAAATATTTTATCGATTTCCTCTTTTGGCTGATAAATATGTGAGAACAGGAGATAGCTTTGCTTTTTATTGTACAAATAGTCTCTCACATCAGGTCCACAACAGACTATCACAAGACCCTGTCTCTAATTATTTGTCATTTCAGTATAATTTTATGCACACATCAGGCTGAGTGTTGGCAAATTAGATTGAACCATATGAAATGACTATTTCATGGGTAAAAATGGCCAAATAATTTTATATGACTTAACTTGGATGGGAGATAAACTAACTCAGGTAAATTTGTAAGATTATCCTTGAAGAGCTAAATAAGCAATGAATTTTAGGACAAAGGAACTAAAGGAATCATGTACTTTTTAAAAATTTCCAAGTCTACAGGATATTTGATAAACCACTGAATTGGTAACTTCTAAATGCCTATATAATACATATTCTTCAAAAGAAATTTCAATGTGCTATTAAGAACTAGGTTTGTAATATTTAAATTCAGTGTTACAAAATTTACTTTTATTTATAAAAATTGAAAAAAATATGAACAGTATTTTGAATAATTTAGCATTAAAATGTATTTAAATTTCTGATTTTACATGACAAAGAATGATGCATTGTTACAAAGGTTTTAAACATACTCAGACCAAACATAAAGGACCAAAAATAATATGTTTCAAATTACAAAAGTTTTTTATTATATGCACATGTATGCATGCAATTATTTTTTCTAATTCTCAAGCAAATAAAAAAAGTTGAAACTTACCAAAACTATATTTCTTTTTGAATGGAAATGAAATTTAAACTCCTAGAAATTGCTGTACATACTCACTAAGAAATACCCAGAATGTGTTCTTATTAATTAAACTTTACTCTCTGAACATATAAATATGGACAAAATTATCTGCAGAAAAAGTTTAGGTCAATCAATTGCTCTACAGGAAATAAAACACACTTGGCAGAAAAAGGAAGAAAACCTCAGACATATATCTGAAGTAGACTCTAAGAGTGTCTAATCATCTTAAAAATATATGAACTTTTTATAACTATGTTAATAAAACATGGCTAGTGGTTATCTCATAGTGCTATAATCTATTTTTACTTAGCCACTAGTGCAGGTGTCTTAAGTAAACATTTTTATATGTCAATAAAGACTTTCTAAAATACTTGGTAGTGGCTTATAGAGCTGAATCATCACGTAGAAAAACCCATACGACATAAGAATGACCAAATTAAAGTATGACTTAAGAAGATAAAAAGCTTTATTGCTGAATACAACTTTTTCAATTTAAATATAGTGAAGTTTCTTTGTTTGGTAAGATAGTCTTATAATGAAAAATATCTAGAACAATAGTGATCAGTGAGAGCTGATGGAGTAAAAACAGTTCTATAGATGTTTAGACCCAACAGCAACAATAGGAGTTGCTTGGGCATATCTACGTGTTTGGTTCTTGTGGGTGCTGTATCGTCCGTCAACAAATGAAATAAATGAAATAAATCATACCAGAAAGACAAATAATCTTTGATCTCATTTATATGAGAATCTGGAAAAAGTGAACTCAAAGAACCAGAGAATAGATTGCTGGTGGCCTGTGGCAGGGGGGTAGAGAAATGGTGAGTGAGAATGGGGTGGAGGGCAAGTGGATGAATATGGATGAATATGCGCAAAAGATACAAAATTCCAGTTTTAAATACAGGATATATAATGTGCAGGATGATAACTATACTTAACAAAACTGAATTATATATTTGAAAGTTGCTAAGAGAACAGATTTTGTAAGTTCTCATCACAAGGAAAAATGAAGTTTTTTTTTAACCATGTGAGGTGAGGAATATTAATTAAACGTATCGGTGGTGACTATTTTGTAGTATACACATGTATGTAACCTTTATCCACTTAAAACTAATAAGCTATATGTCAATTATAACTTAATAAACCTGGAAAAAATATTTTCCAGTGAAGTGGCATTATAATAAAGGAATAAAGTTGTGCAGTACTGAACTAGCCAGAGAATGTAAGCTGCTTAAAAAAAAGCATGATCCTCTGCTGGAAGGTAACAGTAGTTACTGATTTTATAAGGAAATGTCAAGGCAGTCTTAGGGATATAGAAGCAGAAATATAAGATTTTATGAAACACCATGAATCCTTTCATCTTATTTTAATGGCAGCGAAGGTTAAATATAATGTACAATACATCATTAACATTTTTATCAAAACATTTTTTCTTTTATAATTTTTATTATATCAAGGACCCCCCCCCTTAAATGAAAATATGTCAGATACTGTCAATGGAAAACATTTTACAAAGTTCTATTTACATGTAACTTTTCTAGAGTGCATCTAATGCACAAAGCAAGCAAGTGTGTTATTTCATTCAAATAAGAATTAACAATTTAACAACCGAGAAAATTTTTGAAATCTTTCACAATCAACTAATTTAACACCAAATGTTTATTTGGTCTTTTAAATGACAGGCACCCTTAGGAAATGTATTTCACTTATACTTTAGACTTCCACTAGGTTTTTGCTACAGTATTCAGCACCAAAATCCATTTCAATAATATCAATATTAGCAATTTATTTTTAAATACATACTATTTCATATAGACATAATGGAAAAATTAGAACTTCAAACAAATACGAATATCAAAATTTATAAAATGGGCAGTTAAAAAGTTTTTAAAAAACAGCAATCTAGAAATGCGAAAAAAAAAACCCTTTGATTAGACAAACAGGTTAATTGGTTTAATTGGTTAAGACTATAAAACTTAGTCTTAGAAAATCTTTGGCTTAAAAATCAAGACTATTTCAAAATTATAATTTTTTCTATTATCAAATTTTAGAGCAGTCTAGAAATACTGAAAGTTTTTAAAAATCTAAGAGGTACCAGATTTTTAAAGATCAAAGTAAACACCAGTTTTCTCCCTTGTAAAATTACATTTTTAAAAGATTTTCTGTATTTAATCAGATGAATGTTCATCTTTAAAGTTATTTATGAAGAAATCGTTTCTCTAATTATATAATGAACTATATACTGTTGCTTAGAACTGGAATAGTAAAGCAAATACTCAACTTATGCAGATTTTGATAAATAGTAACTGAAAAAATTATTACCCAAAAGTACGATACACAATTCTAGGTAGGGTCCACCTACCTATGTTTGAATTAAAAAAAACAAAAACAAAAACAAACAAACAAACAAAAAAACAACTTGTGGGAGGAAAAGCTAACATTATCATTTTAGTGACTTAGAGAACAGTGCAAGCAAGGAAGCCCTGCTAAAAGTTAAATGGCAGCCTCTATCCAGGCTCCATGTTGACTCCCCATACCCTGTTCGGGCTGTGCAGCCTCTAAAGTCAAGTACAATTCCAAAGTTGTATGTGATAAGAAGGGAGAGGGGGAGTAAACTTGCTAACTTGAACCACCAGCAGCCTATACCTGAAAGGGAATAGTGCAAAGTTAATCCTGGCCCCTTTAAAATACTGAATACTGATTCAAAAAACAGACACACCTCAATTCTCAAGAGGAAAGCTTTCTCCTAAGAAGGCTTATTGCCACAGTACACAAAAAAACCTGCTAAGCCATCAGCTAAACCGTGCAGTCCGAGCCAAAGCAGACATTTTGTAATCTAATTATAATAGGTTTAACAAGTCTTCCCCTTTAGAGATATCCCCCTATAAATAAATGATACAGACATGTCCGAATTTTTGAGAGCAGAATCACTTAGATTCCGGCCCCTGTCTTCGGTAACCGTAAATGCCTCTGCCATATCTCCTGTGCAGAAGCTAACCTGAGACAGGGCAAGAACACATGGCTAGGTCCTCCATGGCAATGTTGGGTCTGGCATCGGTCTTCCTAGCACAGAACACTGTTCAAATGTCCACTTTAACACTGTCAGCATTAGGAAGACTATTTTGGTGATGAGAAATTACTTTTACATAATATGGACTAAAAAAGTATAACAGGAAAGATACAGATAATAAAAATTACATTTATGGGAAACAGCAGTTTTTGTTATTGGTTAGAAAATTTGTAATGGTGATTGCATACTGTTAACACAATTCTGCATTATCATACTTTGAAACAATTTATATGCAAGCCAGTTTCTAACACTTTACAAAAAAACCATTAAGTGACCATTTATACATTCCTCAGACTTGAATTCTAACATGTTTATCTTTGATTCTATGTGCTCAACTGACAGTTGGCTATATGCCTTTTACAGAAAGAGAGTAGTTTTCCTACTCAGATGCTTTTTACTATGAGTGTTCATAAAAATTTAATGATGCCACATTATTAAAATGAAAAACTGTAATAAGTTTAGACATAACTATATATTTAAACAAAGTATGAACCTGGCAAAGCTGATGACTATGTTTAAGAAAAATTAGGTATTGCTGACACATCAGAAGGGTAGTGACCTGGAATGCACAAAACCTTTTGCTCTCTGCTAGAGATCTGCTCTAAACAGATGGTCAGATTTTAAGTCATCTGTTTTAATATTCTGGCATTTTGCTTTTTTTGATAGAAGGAAAAAGCACACTCTTGCCAAGTTCATGTATTCTAAAACATGGAAAAGTTTCCTTGTCATCAAATAAGGAAAGCTTTGAAGTGCCCTCAGCTTAGGAGGAACAACAATAATTCTATTATCACCATTGTCCCTTTTTAATTTAAAAAGATTGGTCCTCAAAATGTTCAAGTTATTTTACATAAATGATTAATGAAACTTTTTTACAAGTGTAATTTTTAACCTCAGACTCATCATAAATCATTTAAACTAAATTAAAAATGATTATAACAAAGTGTAGAAATAATGCTTTAAAATACAAAATATCACCTAATAGTCATTTTATAATTTGAAACTGGTTAACAACTTAAACTAGAAAAAAGAAGCATGTAGTTAAAGAAAATTTCCAGTCTCTTCCCTTCTACCCAGGAAAATTTTACATCTGGTATCACCAACAGGAGTTCTTGGTAACCTTTTGAAGTCTTTTGAAGAGCATGCCTTGGCAGGCTTACTGGTGATCTCCTTCAACTCGTCTCTTGCGAACTATGAGAAACAGAAAAAATATTCAAAATCCCTATTTGTTTGTACAATGTTAACTTCCTTGTAACAAACAACTTTCTGACTGATTCAGTTACAGTTGTACAAAAAAGAAATGTCCCATTCCAGTTCACATGGTCATTAAAAACAATTCACATCCTTCATCATTAGCATTTACCTGGTGAGAACTAAAGGACTTCACAACAAGCACAATGTGTCAAACCTCACCTATGTTTAAAATCTAAAACGGAATGGTAAGCAATCATCTTTGATCACTGTCCCTGTCTTATTTATTTACTGAAAATTTATTAACTCCATTTAAAAAATGATTAATAAATTACTGTGTTAAATTTTGAAATGACATTTAGGCAGCCAGAATTCCAAAGTATGAAAAGTATCTAATTTGCATGCTCTTCTGATTAGACACAACATATTTTCTTAGTCTGTAAAAGAACATACCAAAAACATTTTTGTCATTTTTAAAGGTAAGTGATTTGCTACTGCTCTCCAAATTTTTCTTATTACTGACAAAATGAACTGGTTCAGGGCTCTGAAAAATTAGTAACAAATGCAGAATAATGAAAATCCTAGACTCCAATAAAGTTGTATGGTCACACTGGTTACTATAAATTTTGGCCTCCAAAGTAGACAACTAGTTCTGCTGATAAAGTGAAGAAAAGCACATGTATCTGAGTATCCCCATCCTCCACAATCAGGGGAGCAGAACTGTTAGGCCAGGCTTACTAATAGCAGGACAACTTCAGGATCTTGCTACCTTCACTGTCACCTGTCAGTCACCAGAGTGCAATGGCTGAGCTACCAGTTCAGGATTCCTCAGCATCACAGCCAACTCTTGAGAGAACAAAAAGCAGGCCAGAGCCTGCAAAGTAGCTCTGACACTTTGTAGCTTATTCCTTAGCAAGTTAACTTTTCTGAGACACAACTCATCCTCTATAATGGAATTAATAGTATCTGTAAGTCATGCCAGATAATTAAAGGCACAGCATACTCCTCAGTGCAGAAATGAAAACACAGTGCAGGAGGCCCAGGTCAAGCATCTCTTTAGGAGAAGGAAAGTCATTTAGCAATTACAGCTAGAGGATTTGCATTTATCCACAATGGGTTTTGGTACCCTTTCTATTAAGTTCCTCTTTTTCAATTAGATTGTTAGTTTATAAATTTTATATTCTCTTCTGTTTATGGAAGTAAGTAGGAAAGCAACTGAACTGGCTAACAGAGTAATAAAAAGTCAACGGGTGCACCTGGCCCCCTGGCCTAGCATTGGATGCTCTGTTCTAACAGCTGGCTTCTGTGCTGGCCTGCAATGGAGGAGGCCAGACATTTGGGAGATGCGAGTAAAGGCTTGTCCAGCCTTTGATTGGGTGCTAACTAGAAATTAGAAGTCAGGAAAATTGAAGTATCAAATTCCCATGAAAATTTTATATTTCTCCACATAAGTACACCCCTGACTATATCCTTTTTTTTTTAATCTTGTAGAAGAACTGGGGTGTAAGCCTGAGGTGTGAGGGGTGAGAGGATTCATTGAAAAACATAGTGGGGAGTAGAATAGGTGGATCTACTGAAATACACTGCTATGGGGAGCAGTGGACAAAACAGGAGAGGTCTGCTGTTTCATATGTGGGTTAGCTCCAGGCCACTGCAGTGATAGCAGTGAGATTTAACCCCTAGGACATCAGGGTGTGTTTACTGAAATATTAAGGAAAAATATCAAGAGATTTGAGTCTTCAGATGAAAACTTACTCATGTGTATGGATCTCTGAAAAAATATAAGAAATATCTGACAAACTGGGTAATTCATTAGGGTAATCATTCCCAAGAAAATTTTGAATTACAGCAGGCTTTGGATGTTTCAGATGTCAAAAGGCATGCTATTAAAAAAAAAAAAATCATGCTATAAACAAGATCTATAGGACAGAGTGGAACAAACAAAAGAGGTGTAAAAGTTAATTATGTAGTTAGCTGGTGTTATGAGAGTAATATGAGACTCGAGGTTCAATCAAATATTGCAAATATACCATACAACCTCTGCTGTTACATCTGGGAGACTTCTTAGCTGGAGAGATGGCAAGTAGATAGGAATACTTCAGTGAATAGTTGAGACTTAGAAAATGAGAGAAGGAAAGATGACAAAATCAGAACACCAAAAATGTAACATAGTCCACTGGCAGGGCGAAGAAAAATTATATGCCCAAGAGATTCAGTACAAGTTTCAAGTCTTGTTATTTGATATCCCTTTCTAGTCACTATGTATTAGATTGCATTTAAACAAATGTGGTCTTTAAGCTTGCCCCCTTGATTTATAAGCAGAGATACAAGTGTAAGGCTGAGAAAGTCAAGCAGAAGACTTTGTGAATACAGCTCAGGAGAAGGAGGTGGTGCACAGTTCCATCTCCCTCTCCTCTTTTCTCCCTTGGTGCTGCCTGCTGTCTGCCGGTAGTAATTTCTATTTTATCCGTTAGATGAGAGGCCGCTAATAAGCTTGATCCTGTTAACAATTCTTTGGATCTGGTGTAATTTCTTTCTAAAATATACTCTACTGATTTAAGTTCTCTCAATATACATTATCAGTCAACTGTGAATAAGTCCTAACCTCAATTTCTCTCTATTTCTAGAAGAGTAATAAAAACAGTCCTTTGGAAGTATCATTGCAATCATGCATTTAGGGGCCTATAAAGTCTGCAAATGCCTCCAGAGAAATCTAAGTCTTCTACCATGTAATGTTAGTGTTTTCTACCAGTTCCCCTTTTACACTGCTGATATTGGTTTATTCTGGACCCAACATCCTACTATGAATCTGTCCTCAAAATCTGCAGGCCATCTTTAGTGTTGCTCCAAATTTGAGCTTTTATCCATGTCATTCCAGGAATGTCTTATTTCCACTTCATTATCTGAGACTCACGTCTGCAAATCTAGTTTGGATCAAAATGAGAGAGTATGGGGTGGGAAGTATCAAGAGAGTTACTAGCACAACTGTTTGCTTTCTTTCAGTTCTGCTTTGTGTTAGACCACAAATTCTCACCACAGCCTCTTCATCTTCTATTACACACTGCTATGGACAGCTACTCAACTGCTTAGTGTCAATATAAAGCAGCCTAGGAAACAGTTTTCATCTGCTCCCTCACCTGTATCTGCCAAAATAGCCCTTCTAATACCCAGCACTTCTTATAGGAACCTGGGCAAAGCACCTGCTCCAACAGGCTGGGCAGAAGAGCAGAGCAACTGCTGAGGCCTTGCAAAGGTCAGTATCACTGCTGATATGGGCACTCGCTGTGCTGCTACTGTAGGATAGCAGCTGGTACCACCTGTCTGCTGGGAGGGATGCAGGTGACTGAGATGGAATGGGCTACACATTTCTTGGTGGTATCCTGGGAAAGCTTAAGTAGATAAAGCAGAGAGGATACTTCTTGCTTAACTTTATGGCTATTTAGTTACCAGAAAATTATAACTGGGCAGAATTCAAATTCTAATACTTTCTTTGTATTTACTTAATAAGTCTAATGGGTCAGGCATAGCTTAAGAGAAAGGTAGATTCAACAGATAGACAAGGCTTCTGCTCCAGCTGAGAGTCTGAAAATGGACTATTACAATGAAGTCTACCTAAGTAAAAAACTAACATTTTTAGAGTCAATAATGTAAAAATTCTAAAAACTCAAATCATTGATGAAGTTCGATCAGACTTGAAAAAACACTTCTAAAACGCAAAATTAAATACCTTAAGAAAAAAAAAATAAAAGTAGGAACCAATATTAAAACAATCAGCACAATGTTGCCAACTACATATGGAACCAACAATACACTAAATCACACCAATTTTATCTTTAAAAAAGCAAGAGGCTGAAACCTTTTAGGGGAAACTACAGTCATGAAAGGACACAAAGAATTTGAACTAATCCACTGTGATCTGGATTAAAGGAATGAAGCTGTATTTTATTCCTGCTCAAGAAACCTTTATGAAATACAAACTCAAATATGACTAAAGCTTAAAAGAACTATCACTTTGAAATGTTACTCCTTTTAAGAAACCTTATTTTAATTATTGTGAAATACATCTTTAAAAATATTTGAGTGAACTAACATAAAACTTGAAAGAATAGTCAATTTTTGGTGACATGTAGCAACAAAATTATTAAGATTTATATTCATTTTTATTATTTCTCCCTCAACCCTTTGCCCACAGCATCATACTCTTTAATTCAGCCTTGGCTGGAAAATTTAGTTCAAGCAGAAGCCACAAGCCTCAGCAGTTTAACGAGAACCATGGAAGAACAGGAGGCTCCTGCCTGGGCATGTGCAGTGAGAAGACAAACTGCGCAGGAACAACCGTGTGAGGGAGTCCAGGAAGTACAGCAAATGTTTGCATACCACTAACTCTCAAACTTGGAGTTAAAACTACAATTCTTTTATATTTTGTCATATAAAGTTGAATTTCCATCTAGGCCTGTTTGTTAAAAAGGACAGGTAACTCTCTATAATGTCAAAATCCTTAACAGTTCAAATGGGTGACTTGTAACTGAGAACAAAATATATGTTACAGGAAGCATTTATTATTATAACATTTGTTGTAAAAAACAATTCACTTTAAGATGTAAAATTTGTTTGTTACAGAAAGTTTACTTTATCCGCAACCCAATAATCACAACCTCCCTTAAGTGGAACTCTAGTTCAACCAAAATAAAAAAGGACTAGGCAAATTTTAGAAATGAAGGCCAGGTAATCTGTTAAGATTTGTTTAAAAAAACATAAATAAGTATTTCCCCAAAATATTACCTTAATGACACAATTCAAAAATTTGATTTTATACTGCATTTGTCTTACCTAAGTCGTTGTTTTTGGTGATAGCATTAGCTGCTCTGGTTCGGGGTCCCTGTTGTGTAAACTGATATCCAAACTTAAGGATATTTGTATTTTCCTCAAGCATCTTGGCTATTTCCAATTCTACAGCTGTCCCCAACTGCTGCCTCTGGAATCATTAGAAATAAAGGATAGCATTTACAAATTAGATCAAAATACTTTTCAAGGTAAGTCAAGACTAAGACATGGCAGGCACATGCTTTTAAAATTTTCCCAATTTTTGCAATATATATATTAATACATAATAGAAGCAAAATTTAAAGTTCAATATATGATCATATAGACAAAAATGTATGGATTACCATAACACTTCATATTTAACTAGGATGATTGATTACAATAACTGTAATGATAATAATAACAATGACAATAACAACAGAAGGAAGCAGAAAAATTGGGAACTTCTAGCATCAAGGTAGGAATGGTGGAGCTGCTGTGGAAAACAATTTAGCCACTCCTCAAAAAGTTAAATGGAGAACATAACTTGATTCCACTTCTAGGTCTATACTCATAAGAAATGAAAAATATGATCATATTAAGAACTTGTGCATAAATGTCACAGCAGCATTATATGTACCTTTTAAAAAATAGGTAACAGGTCATTCAACCTTAAAAGGAAATTAAGTACTGATATATGCTACAGTGTAGATGAACCTCCAGACATGTAGTTGAGTAAAAGAAAGCAAACATAAAAAACAAAACAAAACATTGTACAATTACATTTAATGGACTGTCCAAAATAGGTAAATACATAGAGACAGACCCTGGGAGGGTGAATAGGGAGTGACTGCAAATGGGTATGGAGTCTCTTTTCAGGGTGACGAAATGTTCTGGAATTAGTGGTGATTGCTGCACAACTCTATGAATATACTAAAAACCACTTCATTATATACTTTAAAAGAATGGCATGTGACTATCCCCACCCAAAAATTGAAAACATGGGTTAAATAGCATTCTAGTTAAGTTTTAAGATATAATCCTTTTTACTTTCATGGTCTACAAAATTTATTTATTTTGAAGGACTGAGGAAATCATTTACAAATATATTTTTAAATAATTGAAGTAATTTTTTAAGTAAAAAAACTGAAGTATTTCAGTCAAATATATATATTGTTTTAATTAATTATCACTATGAATGGAAACATTTGTAACATGTATATTTCTCTGCCTCTTTAAAGAAAAGTTACCAGGACGTGGGTGACCCCACATTATCACATGGCATCAGCACTGCATTCAGCCATACAGAAGACTACATATGTAGCCTTCTATTTTTTCATTCAACCTATTCATCTACTGGGCCTCCCTGGTGGCATGACAGGTTAAGCGCAGTGCTGTGAGGCTGTCTGCAGCCTCTGCAGTGTGGGTTAGATTCCTGGCTGGCCAGGGAGATTCCCATCTGGCAAGGCAGACCTCTCACGTTTCGCATGCTGCTCCCCTGAGCAGTGTATTTCAGTCAATCTGCCTGTTCTGCTCCCCGCTCTGTATCTGGTGAATTCCCTTACTCTCCTGCACCTCTGGCCTGTACCCCAATTCTCGTATAAATAAATCTTAAAAAAAAAAAACAACTATTCATCTATTACATGTTTGGGGCTGTTACATGCTACAGACACAAAAAGTTTATGATGTGGATCTTTCCAATAAAGAGCTGAAAATTTGAGGATGGACTGCCACCTGTAAGAACTAGTTCAAAATTGCTAGGTGAGAAATTGTTGGTGAGGATGTGGAGACAGGGGAACCTGCATACACTGTTGGTGAGAAGGTATGTTAGTGCAGCCACTATGGAAAACTGTATGGAGATTCCTCAAAAGTTTAAGAATATTACAATGTCATAAGCCAATGTTATCTCAATTGAAAGAAAAATTAAGAATAAACTACCATTTAACCCAGCTATTTTACTTCTGGGTTTTTAATCCAAAGAATACAAAAACACTAATTCAAGAAGGTACATGCACCTTTATGCACAATTCACAATAGCCAAGATATGAAAATAATGATAAGTGCCCATCTACAGATAAATGGATAAAGAAGATATTTTATATACACACAGGAACACTATTCATTTATCATTAAAAAAAGGAAATTTTGCCATTAGTGACAACATAGATGGACCTTGAGTGTTTCATGCTAAGTGAATTAAATCACCACAAGGGAAGGGGGTTGGAGAGTGGGTGAAAGAGTTAGTAAAATGGGTCAACTGTAAGGAGATGAATGGAAACTAGACTTGTGGTGGTGATCAAGAAGCAGTGTATACAGATGTCAGATAAAACCTATATAACGTTATAAAACCAAGTATACTTACAAAAATTATTTTTTAAATAAGCCAGTCATCTAAATTCTCTTAAAATGATTGAAGGAGAGCTGCTTTTATACACTTTCCTACACATTAATATTCTGGATGCCCCACCTTTCACCTGTTCTCAGGCCTCTACCTTACCAAAGGGACCTCAAAAGCATTTTCCCAGCCACCTCCTGAGCCCCCAAGCCTCCCAAAGCAGTGTGGGTTATTGTTTCCTCAAAGTTACTGCTGTAGCACACTGACCTGATTGTCAATCTTGAGCTCTGCCAGGGTTTCATTATCTCTTAAAGCATCAATCAGTGCAAGAACCCCAACTCCTGTAATAAAGTTGGACTCCATATTTAAGCTTTTCAAATTTTTGTTCACTTTCAACATATCTGCAAAAGCCTAGAAATTAAACAGTTAGAGATTAATATTTGACAGCCCCTATTACAGTCCATACATGCCAGAAATGAATACATTAATCAACATAATGCCTTAATTCTTGTTGGATTGTTTTAACTTGAAACACTACTCCACAGGTCTCACATGTATTTATGTGTTCCCTGTCCAAATCTTTGGATTTTTTTTGTTACATGTAATTCCCTGTTGGCAACATTTTTCACTCTTACTCACTTTATGTTCTTTCATTTCTACTTCATATTTCTTTTTCCTGTGTCTTTCAGTTTCTGTTTAGGACTAACTTTATCAATGTCTTTTTAGATAACCTGTCCTGATGCAGCTGGGCTTTGCAAAGTCAAAGTAAGAGGAAATTATAAACTAATTTCAAGGCAGGGAACAAAAGGAATGCCTAAGGCAGAAGGCCAGAAACATTAGATAAATAGACCTGCAAGAATACAATTACTATAGAGAATAAGGGGCTAAGTAAATATTAAACAAGGAAAAGTATGTCTTCAATCTGCTAAAAGGCTATTTCTTTAATCTGCTTTCATTAAATTTCTCTCAGGATATGGTAGTGCCAGGCATTTGACACAGTGCTTAATAAACACCATATAGATTAGTTAACGGAAAACTGCAAGTGACAACATGGGGAAGAGATGAGAGAGAATGAGACAAAGAGGCCGGGAAAAAGATAAAGATAGACAGTGAGAGAGAAGAGGTGGGTGGGAGGAGGAGTATGAGTTTATATAGAACAGCTCAGAGTACTAAAAAAAAAAGTTCAAACTCCAGAAAATATGGGTAAGACTAAACACCAAGTTAAAGAAATGGAAATGGGAGCAAGGATAATAGAACTTGGGTATCTACACATTTTTTATCAGATGACTGGTTATGTGAAATGGAACAGATTCTTTGCATCTACCTGTACATACATGTATTCAATACTACTGAGTGCTTTTTATTTGATAAGTACAGTTCTACATTTAAAAAAATAAAACATACGGGTCTCCCTGGTGGTGCAGGGGTTAAAGACAGCACTGTCAAGCTATCACCAACAACTGCAGCCGGCCAGGGAGCTGACCCACACGGCCCAACAGACCTCTCCTGTCTCACCTGCTGCTCCCTTCAGCATCCTATTTCAGTAGATCTCTCTGTTCTGCTCCCCACTCTGTCTCTTGTGAATCTTCTCAACCCACGCACCTCTGTTCAACACCCCAGTTTTTATATGCATAAATAAAAATAAATCTTTAAAAAAAAAAGGAAAGAGTAAAAGCAGATATGAGATCTAAGTCAGCACTTAGATTTTATTTTTTTAATTTTTTAAAAAGATTTATTTATTTATGCATACAAGAGCTGGGGTACAGGACAGAGATACAGGGGGTTGAGAGGATTCACGAGAGACAGAGCAGGGGCCAGAACAGGCAGATTGACTGAAAGACACTGCTGAGGGGAGCAGCGTGCGAGACAGGAGAGTTCTGCTTCACCATGTGGGTTTCTCTCTGGCCAGCAGGGAATCGAACTCATGCTGCAGAGGCTGTGGATTGCTTCATAGTGCAGTGCTTAACCCCTTGCACCACCAGGGAGGCGCAGCACTTAGATTTTAGATGGTTGTTAGAGTTCCAAGTAAAGCAATTAATTGGTAGCTGGACATGAGTCCAGTTAGCAGAAACAGATAACATACAGCGATGAAACAGAATGAGACCACCCAGCAAAAGAGTGTAGGTAGAGAAAAGAGGCAAAGGAGGATTGGGTCCAGGGCCACGTGAATGCTTAAATGTTGGAGAGATGAGGAGGAACCAGTGCAGGGACCAGAGACGGAATGTCCAGAGAATAAAGGGAGTGAGATCCTCAACACCAAGGAAAGAAAAAGGGTCATACCACAACCAAGTGCAATTTACCCAGGAATGCAAGGTTGACTTAATACATAAAAATTAATCAATGTATTACATCATTTTAATAGAATAAAAGACAGAAACACAAATCAAAACATGAGATACCACCTCACACATGTGAGAATAGCCTATGTCAAAAAGATCAGGAACAAGCGTTGGTGAGGTGTAGAGAAAAAAAAAACAACCTTGGGCCTCCCTGGTGGAGCAGCGGTTGAGTGCTGGGTTGTGAAGCTGCCTGCAGCTTCTGTGGCGCCGGTTTGATCCCCGGCTGCTCCCCGGCCACTGGAGGAGGGTCCCACATGGCACGCAGACCTCTCCTGCCGCCCGCTGCTCCCTTCAGCAGTGTACTTCGGTCCTTCTGCCTGCTCTGCTTCCCACTCTGGCTCTCGTGAATTTTCTCACCCTCCCGCGCTTCTGACTGTACCCAGTGCTTGTATAAATAAATAAATAAATCTTTAAAAAAAGAAAAAAAAAAAAAAACAACAACCTTGTGCACTGCTGGTAGGAATAAAAACTGATAAAAGACAGTAGGGAGATTCCTCAAAAAGTTAAAAATAGATCTATTATATGATCCAGCAATTCTACTTCTGGGTACCTGTCTAAAAAATATAAAACACTAATTCAAAAGATATATGCTTTCTTATGCTCAATGCAGCACTATTTGTAATAGCCAAGATACGGAAACAACCTAAGCGCCTAATGTCAGATGATTTAGTAAAGAAGATGTGGTGTATCTATACACATTGGAATACTACTCAGTTATAAAAAAATGATGAAATCTTGCCATTTATGACAATATGGATAGAACTGTTGGGGATTATGGTAAATGAAGTAAGTTAGAAGGAGAAAAACAAGTACTGGATGATCTCACTCGTAAGTGGAATATAAAGAAACAAAGCAAAGAAACAGATGAAACAACCCCTCGGATTCTGATAGCAGAAGTGAGATTAACTAGGAGGAGAGAAGGGGCCTGATGGATTGTGGTAAAGGATTATTAGTACTTTGGCAGTGGGGAGGGTATGGTGACACACAATGAAGAGATATGACTCTATACTCAAGCAAACATTTCATACCTTAGAACCAAAAACAATGGCCAAAAAACACCTAATCATCTCAACAGATACAGAAAAAGCACTTAACAAAAATATAACCCTATAGATCCAGAAATGGAAACTTCAGGAACTATTAGAAGAATGATATAAATTTTACATGAAAAGACCTCTAAGATATAATTGTTGAGTAAAAACTTAAGTGACAGAACAGCATTTTTGGCATGGCCCCCTTTATGTTTTTATAAATACAAAGCAAGGAAACATAGGAATAAAAATAAAACAGTAGTAAATAATGTATTATCTAAGTTCAATTGCTGCTTAGCAATTGAAAAAAGGGAGTAAACCTATTTATAAAATCACAGTTTAGCCAGCTCTGTAAGTAGTCATAATTTTGATATTATTAATAACAGCTTACTTACAACAGCAACGGGGTCATTGCTCCGGGTAGCTGCAAGACTGAAATGTTTCACATGTGTGTTGGTTTCCAAAGCCTTTGCAAAATCTTTTAGGGTTGGAATTGGGATATTCTTGAAAGACAATAATGCAAAACATTATTAAATTTTAGTTTTCAGAAAATTCTATCCATTAATCAAATATATTCTTACCTTTCTGCATTACTCAGAAGTTATATAAACACACAACAGTCTACAAATGAAAACAATTCAGCCTCCCACAAATCTATTTGACTTCTCCATTATGGTACATTTGGACAAACTGTTGACCTAGGACAGAGTATATCACCATTTCGCCATCGTTCATGTTAAAGAAACTCTCACTGTTCTATCTGTACTTATAAGAAAGAAGTCAACCTTTGCCCATTCAAAACAGATCAACTTTTCTAAAGAAAGATATGAGGGAGTCCTGGTTCCTAAGCAGATGACAAACTATCTCAGTCACTTTAAGTTACAAGATAGTAAGAGAAATTAACTCTACAATATTTGAAATGTAGCAAGATAGAGAAGGTATTAATTTCTTCCTTGAGAACCCAGACATCAACTCTGTGGCCTGGTTTAGTTCATTGCTGCTGACTGAGAGACAGACATGTATCAGGACTGAAATTTTTAAAAATTAAGAAGACTAATGATCAACTAAGGATATTAGCTTTTTCCAAGGCTTTCTCTCCTCTGATGACAGGAATACCCACAGAGATCTTATTCCCTCAGTTCTCGTAATTTTCAGATGCTTCCTCCATACCAAATCAGGTAAGTTATGACATAAAACAAGGAATCTGTAGTGAACTATACAATATAGCAGCGAAAACCCAAGAGACAATTTGAGTTCACTTTTTGGTAATTATTTCTCCAAGAGTTGAATTTCTAATAACCAAGTCAGATTCCAGAAAGCTGACTTTTATGTGCATACCTAAGAGAAATAAAAACATGTTCCCAAGGGGAAAATAATAACAACAACACAAAACAAAAACAAAAAGACAATTATAAATCAGAGACATCCTGAAGGAGAGGAGGCAGGAGAGGGATCGGAGGGAGGAGGAGCACAGAGGACTGAGGTGATGGTGCACAGGTGCCTTGAGGAAGGAAATTCTATGGGGACTACACCTGAGTCAGAGGGAAGCAAACATTATTTAAAAATGAACAATGATGTAAAAATTTTTTAAAAATAATTAATTAAAAAAATGTTCCCACAAAAACCTACATGTGAGTGTGTAAAGTGACTCTAATCATAATTATCCCAAATTGGAAGCAGCCATATGTCTAGCAACTCACAAATGGACAATCCAATTGTAGCATATCCATATAATCAAATACTACTCAATAACACAGAGGAACAAACTCTAGACATGTGTTGCTTATTGATGTTTTGGTCAACGATGTACTGCATATATGACGGTGGTCGCAAAGGCTATGCCTTATAGATGAGGTGTGTAGAAGGCTATTCCACCTAGGTTTGTGTGATATTTGAACAACAAAATCGCCTAACAATGCATTTCTCTGAGTGTACTCCTGTTGTTAAGAGACACATAACTGTCTAGGCACAAGCAGCAACAATTGAGAAATATCTCAAATGCATTATCTTAAGTAAAGGAAGCCGGGCTCAAAAAAGGTTACATACAATACAATCCACTTACATGACATTTACAGAAGGCAAAATGATAGGGAAAGAAAACAGATTAGTGGCTGTCAGGGACTAGAGTTTGAGGCAGAGAATGACAAAAGGGTATGACATGTTCTACATGTACAATGGTAAGATTTGTCAAAACTCATAGACGTACACATTAAAAAGGGAGAGCTTTATTATATATGTTACATCCCAAGAAATGTGATTTAAAAAACAAAACCCAAAGACTAAATGCTCTTAAAAGAAGGCAGTACTTTGGAAGTGAGAGAGATTTATTCTGACAGAATGTGATACTCTTTAGAAAGCAAGTCAGAAAAATACTGTAAAGCTTTAGTTTCGAAAATATGAGGGAGTCTGTATTAGTACTGTTAGAGGCAAAACTTTACCTTTAAGCAGAAAGAACTAGACTGTATCAAAATTACCCAGCTGTCATCCTAAATCTAACCTACTCAAAGCAATTCAAAATGTTTTGTTTGCTACCATGCCTACCTTTATATTATTCAAATTAACTTCAACAAGACGAACATCATTTTCTTTAATTCTCTTTAAACTCTCTTCAACGTTAGTTGGATTTGGTGGCTCATCAAATACTGGGAGAATCTTTTCACCTTTTACCACATCTACAGTAACAAATGAAAAGAACAAGAGTTTCATAGGTTGATACTTCTACACTGGATACATATATTAACTTGGTAAGACACACATACACACTCTCAAGAGAACTAACTTAAAAGTTTCTTCTCTACATTTCCAAAAAGATCCTTAATTGTTGACACTATTTAAAACAATGAAGTAAAACTGTATTGAATATAAATGCCAGACATAATTCAATATTTAATTTGTTTTCCAAAGTATCAACCTTTAAAAAAGAGTATTTTCACTGCTTCGGTGTATAGGATCTGTTTACTAAAATATATTTGATAACACATATTTGATGATCCCATTTATTGTTGAAGACAAAGTTTTAGTAAGATAAAATTTAACTGCTCTTCACATGTTAAGATTTGACTAGCAATTAATGTGACATCTGTAAGAATCACAGACTTGAAGAAATACAGCATCACTATGGAGAGTAAGGTGATGGCAGGACACAGTATATCTTACTCCCATGGAGGACACTACACAATGGCAATCGGCGGAGGACTCTCTAATAATAAGAATAGGGATAGGGAATGGTAAGACAGAGGGAGAATACATGCACAAAAGAGCTACTGAGATAATAATCACCACCTAGGAAGCATTCTTTTTATAAAAAAAAAAAAAAATACATATTTATTTATTTATTTATTTATGCATACAAGCATTGGCATGTAAGGGCCTCCCTAGTGGCACAAGAGTTAAAGTCTCAGCACTGTCAAGCTATCACCAGCCGCTGCAGCATGAGTTCGATCCCTGGCTAGACCTCTCCTGTCTCCTCTCCCTCAGCAGTGTGTTTCAGTGGATCCTCCTGTTCTGCTCCCCACTCTGTCTCTGGTGAATCCTTGCACCTGGCGAGATAGGAGAGCGCTGCTGTGCCATATGTGGCTTACTTCCCTGGCCGGGGATAGAACTCAGGCAGTACCGGTGATAGCTCTGAGACTTAACCCTTAGGCCACTAGGGAGGCCTTACCAGCATTCTTACCAACAGATGAACAGAACTGAACCTGATCACACCTCTAGAACTAACAATTTATAGAAACATGAGAGAGAAAAAAAATCAATATGACACCATGAGACTGCAATCAGTCAAATACAGAATGTAGAAAATTCTACCCAACAAACCACCCAGTTTCTTCAAGAAACAACTGGAATGAACAAAGAGGGAAAGAGGAGTCATGGATAACTATTATAAAATGAACATAAATAAATAAAATGAACATGGATAACTATTATAAAATGAACTAAAAAGACAGATAACCAGATGCAAAGTGTGGCCCTTAACTGGATCCTGATTTGAACAAATAGGGAAAGGATGTTTTTGAGATAACAGTGTAAATCTGTAGATGAACTGGATAGTAATGGTATGCAGCTATGTTAAAAGAAATACTTATTTGTGAAAGACACTTTCAGAAATGTTTATAGGTGGGTGACGTAATACCAAATGAACAGAATTTAAAACAGTCCAGGAAAAAAAGTGGAAAGGGTAGGGAGGGATGATGGATGAAACAAGCTGGCAAAATGTTGAAAATAGCTGAAGCTCGATGGTGGGTATATTTTATTATGTATGCTATGAACATCTCTACACTAATAAGTAAAAAATAAATATAGAAAAGGGCTAAATTACAGAACATTCATTAAATAGAACATTAAGTTGCAGATTTCTTGAAAATCATTCACACTGAAAATAAAATATCAACGTAAAGCAAGTTGACCAGCTTTTATACTGCTTATTATTAGTATTATTAAATGAGGTAACAGTAACAGTGGTTCCTATTACATTAGTTGACATATCTAGCAGACAGTAGTTAACATTTTATTTCCAGCGGCTTTCAATGTCAACAACTGCAATCAAGTTTCAAATACATATACATATCATTTGGCATGTATAAAATGAACTTGATACAAGAAGATAGCAAAACATATTCAGAAAGGATTAAAATTCACAAAGCATGTAAGTACTTACTTGAAAAATGTTCTTGGTCCACACCATTACTACTACTTCCCACTATACTACAGAACTGTGAATTCGTTATTAAATTGTGCATCCCAAGAATAGCTATAAATATAGAAAAAAGAAATTATTTTATTTTCATCATTTTAAACAAAGAATTAATTTTACAACCAAAAATTTGAGACAATACGGCTTATTCATTCAATAAATTCTAAGAGTACCTGTTCCCTTCAAATACTAAACACATACGAACATACACAGCATTCAGAAGAGATCAACTTAGGTATTTTCTTGAGGATATGTGAAGATGTGAATATCCTCTGAACATTTTCCTTCTCAATTATACACATACTTTGCAGCCAAAAAAAAAAAAAAACCAAGGAGAGTGATTTAAAAATCACCTAAATCTCTTTCTCATCAACACTCTTATTATTTCCCTCCACTTTTTGAAGTTAGATTCCCCCCATATTTCTGAATTCAAACACACAGTTGGAGTCAGCTTAAACCTAAATATAAATCTACGCTTAGCGCCCTCTGGTGGTTAAGAGAGAAAATCAAAATGCTCAGTCTTGCTGTGAGATGAAACGTGGGTTTTCAACTTAATCTTTGCTATTTTTACATTTGTTAACACTCAAATTCATATGTTAGCTAAGAGTAGAATACTAAAAGTGTATCTGAGTTCTCATATATAAGATTAAAATAACTTCCCTCAAAAGATGACACTTAGGAAATAATTTATTGATGTTTTTGATTCCCTCTTGCACAAATAAAGAAGTTACCCATTCCACTTTAATGAATGCAACGTTTATAAAAATCATCCTGCTCCATTCAAACATATTAGCTCTTGGGGCTACTTGGTACCAAGCTAACCCTATGCAGTTTCTCTATCTGGGAAATGGGTGTGTTTGCAGGTAAGTGGGGGAGGTCACTGGCCCAAATGAGAAACTGGGAATAATGAAAATAACAGGGCGGTTGGGAATGTTCCATATACTTCAGTAAGTTGGTAAAGCAGTGAGAACAGTTCAGGACTGGCTGCTTCATCTGCTTTCCAGTTACAATCTCCTGGGATTCTGATAAAATAAGAATGCAGTGGACCTTAGAGACTCTTTCAGTGCTCAAAATGAAACTGCTTCTAGCTGGGCACCAGCTGATGAAAGATTTTTATAAAGATTTTCAAATATGGGAACATGGGAAAAGATTTCACGACTGAAAGAATTTAAGTAAATGAAATCCATTATGTCAAGATTTTTAGTGTAAAAATACAAAGCCATATATGTGGTTGCTAATTCAATAATTCTTTGTTAGGCAAAGGAAGCATTTGTACAATGTACATGTGCTGGTATACCCTTCCCCTCCACATTCATTCACAAATTAACTTGATTTAGTTTATACCTGCAAGGTCACACAATTCTGTATCAGAAGCACTTGTCAAAGCTTCTTCTAATTCTGGATCAAGAGATACTTTTTCTTCTGTGAAAGTCTGTACAGGTTTCTGTTTAGGGATGAATATTTTTCCTGTAAAATAAAGCAGTTTGTTAATTCCATTATTACTACAACTAACTCATTTTTCAAGCAAAAATTATTTAAAGTATGTACAATTGAAGCTAAAGGAAAAAGTTAATGTTCTGTTTTATCTTTAACATGTATTTATAAGTTCCCAGGGCAATACTTTGGTGGTACAAATGGAATGAAAAAAAAATAAATTTTCCCATTGGTGGAACTGAAAATTGGCTTTTAAAAAAAAATTTATTTTCATTTATGCATTCATGCAAGAGCTGGGGTATAAGGCAGAGGTGTGGGGGGAGGAGGTGAGGGGATTCACCAGAGACAGAGTGGGGAGCAGAACAGGCGGATTTACTGAAACACACTGCTGAAGGGAGCAGCGGGAGAGACAGGAGAGGTCTGCTGTACCATGTGGGTTAGCTCCCTGGCTGGGGATCGAACTCATGGCACAGTGACTGGTGATAGCTTGACAGCGTTGATACTTTAACCCCTGCACTATCAGGGAGGCCCCAAAATTGGCTGTTTTTTTGAGTGTTACTCTAAAATAATAAAAAAAAAAAAGAAATAAAAAGTTCTATAAAATAAGAATAAATAATCTATTTTCATATTGTTAAGCAACAAAGCATTACAGTCATTTGGGGGATGTCAGAGGCAATTATGATCCCAGAAATTCAAGATCTGACTGCAAAGTAATTTCCATGTGTCCTGAGTGATATTCTGAAACTTTTGATCACCACTCCAATTGTAAGCATCAATGGATACTATCAAGGTTACCTGGTAAGAAATTAATTATTCTGGAAACCTGAAGGCTTTATTAAGTGATAAATATTTTATCATCACCTGTTCAATGCATGATAGAAAATAAGACAATGGAAAATGATAACGATATTAACTATAGCACAAGCTGACCAAACAAGATATACTCATACATGGTGGGGATGGTTTACCAAGACTGCCTTTGGTTTCTCTCCCAAGACAGGAGAAAATTCTAATAAGTGGCCTAGAAAAACCCATATATAGATTCAGAAAAGTGTCAATATTTTCTTCCTATTAGAAAACTACTAGGGAAATTTATGAAAATATGCAACCCAATGTATCTGTACAGTACTCTATTAAAATAAATGTTTGTGTGCTTATTATTGGGGCAATGTGTTACATATTTCTTGTTCAAGGTAAATATTAATAAGCATAGCCATAAGGAATTCTTCCAGGATGCGGACTACTTCTATGACTCTGGCCAAGCTTGCCAAGGTATTGTCTTCTAAACCATATAAAGGATTTAAATTTCTGATCATATACATTTTTAGTACTTCTGTTTGGTTCTTTTTTAAAAAAAATAGTTTCCATATCTGCCAAAATTCTGCACCTTTTCATACATGCTGTATATCTTTGTCCAGCAGATTCTTCGGCATTTTTGTCATAGTAAAAGTCCCTCACTGATAACCCAGTATCTGGATTCTCTGCAGGTCTTCTACTGACTTTACTTCCTTGACTCGTACATCACACGTGTTTTAAGATCTTTACCTGCTGGCATTCTGTATAAAAGTATAACAGAGGGCCTCCCTGGTGGCATGGGGTTAAGTCTCAATGCTATCATGCTATCACCGCTGAGGCGTGAATTCAATCCCCAGCCAGGGAGCTAACCCACACAGTGTAGCAGACCTCTCCTGTCTCCTCTGCTGCTCCCCTCAGCAGTGTATTTCAGTCAATTCGCCTGTTCTGTTCCCCACTCTGTCTCTGGTGAATCCTCTCACCCCCTGCACCTCTGGCTTACACCCCAGTTCTTCTGTGCATAAATAAATAAATAAATACTTAAAAAAAATAAAGGTATAGCAGAGAAGAGAAATTTTTCTTCAGAAAATGGAGCATTCCGGGCCTCCCCAGTGGCGCAGCGGTTGAGCGCTGGGTTGCGAAGCTGCCTGCGGCCTCTGCAGCGCCAGTTCGAACCCCAGCTGCTCCCGGGCCACAGGAGGAGGGTCCCACATGGCGCGCAGACCTCTCCTGCCACCCACTGCTCCCCTCAGCAGTGTACTTCAGTCCTTCTGCCTGCTCTGCTCCCCGCTCTGGCTCTGGTGAATTTTCTCACCCTCCTGCGCTTCTGACTGCACCCAGTGCATGTATAAACAAACAAAACAAACAAACAAATAAATAAAAACATGCCTCTATAAAAAAAAAATGGAGCATGCTGTTAGGCAGGGCTGAATCAAAATACTTTACAGCTGAGCTAAATCTGGGCTTTGTTTCAACTTTAGTTTGATTTAGTTCCTCCAGTGGCTTCAAGCATTTTGAGGAGGACAGGACCAGGACTTTCTCTGCAGCAAGGCCTGAGATGAGAAACCTAAGTGAAGTTCTGGAGATCTCCTGACTACCTAGTTTTGAACTGTGAAGTGTGAGATTTCTCTTGCTGTATAGCCTTGGCCTCCAGTGTTCCAGGTAGTTGGAGAACTCTCGTTGTTTTTCAGTCCTATCCCCTGCTTTTGAAGCCCAGCAGAACTTCCTGTCCCACTCTTGACTTGTCTGCTCTATACTCAGAGAAGTTGGGGGTGGCCTAGAAATGGTTTCTCTCCACTCTCCTGTCTCTCCCTCAATCTTCCTAAACTGAAAACCTATTTCTTGGGAATTTTCTCAGCTCTGTGCCATTGTCTCTGTTCTTGGATAAAATCCCTAATACTAAATGAAGATCTATAGAAAAGAACTGGGGGTGAGGTGGGGGGGGGGGGTTAAGAGCAGTCACTCTGTCTCTAGGGCCATGCTGTCCAATATTAGCCACTAAAACCACATGTAACTATTTAAATTTTGATTATTAAAATTTTAAAAATTCAGTTCCTCAATCATCTTAGGGACATTTCAAGTGCTTGATAGCCACATCTGTGGTGGCCACCATATTGGCTCACACAGATATTGAACATTTCCATCACTGTAGAAATTCTTAGTAGACAGCACTAATGTAGGCCTCCTCTGGACTCTAACATGCCAGCCCATACATGGTTAATTAAAAGTTTGTTAGAAATTGAGCTGATTTTTCCTTCTCTCTATGGTGGTTTCTTCCTTTTCCCTACATTTCAGTCAGGAGAGGAATGGAGCACTTCCCTTACAGAGAGTTTGTCCCTTTCTGGAATCATTCAGGTTTGTGTCCTTAAGCTCTCTGGCAGGTTTACAAAAACTATGATCATATAGCCTGTGCTGCTTATTTTGATTGCTATAGTGAATGTGGTGAGAATAATAGTCTCTCGTAACTTACTAAATCTGATCAGATGTCGTTCCGGTTTCCTTATTTTAAAAATGGTACTTGGTCAATCCACAATGTATATATACTAGTAAGGATGTTTTAAAACTGCGTGTAACAAAATACCCACAAAAAGGTTGTTTAAATTGGTGCTTCTCAATCTTTAATGTGCATTTTATTCATGTGATGATCTTATTAAAGTGCAGATTAGGATGCAACAGGTATGACGTGGGATCTGAGATTATGTATTTCTAATCAACCTCTCATGTGATGCTGATACTATTGACCACAGACCACACTTAAACACAGAAAAGGTTCAAACAAGAAGTATTTCTGTTATCTCAATAAACAGACAGGTTTGTGGTTGGATTAGTTAGCCACTCAATGTTAGCATCAAGGATCCAGGCTCTATTTTGCTTTGGCTGTAACCAGATGCAGGCCTTTGTTCTCAAGCCATCAGTCTCCAGATGACCTTAATAAATTAAAAATTCACAAAAATTCAGGACAAGAAGGAAAGGCACTTTCCCAAATGTCAACTTTTATAAGAAAAACTGTACAGGAGATTCCCTCTCTCGCCTCACCAACAGCATTGGGCCACATGTTCATGCTCCAGCAGCAAGGATGACGAGGAGAGAAAGCACTTGGCATTTCCAGTCTGGTTCAGAGATGGGTTATGCCAGTAAGAAGGAATTTGTCCCAATATTGAACCAAATGACCACTTCCACACTCTCTTAATTCCCTAAACACTACACTATGGCCAGAGTTACGCATTGTGCATGTTTTGTGGGAACTTTTCCAGGGTATAGTCTATGTTCTGCTCATCCCTGCACCCTTGCTAGCACCAAGTACATGGTTCACATTGCTGAATGAATACTTTCACAATCACTTCCAGTCTAACTACCTCATTTTGTATAATCTAACCGAATACCCTGGTTCCTGAACACTTTACCCAGTACTTCTGTGCTTCTTCCAATAAATCAACAGATTTCAAAAATTTTTTTTTAAAGATTTATATATTTATTTATACAAGCACTGGGTACAGTCAGAAAAGCGGGAGGGTGAGAGAATTCACCAGAGCCAGAGCAGGGAACAGAATAGGCAGACTGTTGAAATACACAGCTGAGGGGAGCAGCGGGCACGGCAGGAGAGGTCTGTGTGCCCTGTGGGACCCTCGTTGGCAGCCTGGGATCGAACTGGTGCTGCAGAGGCTGCAGGCAGCTTCGCAGCCCAGCGCTCAACTGCTGCGCCACTGGGGAGGCCCAACAGATTTGAAATTTAACATTAGCAGGAAAACTTATCCCCTCAAATGCCTATCTGTCTGATGGTATACATAACTGATTTTCTTAGTACCAGATTCTGCAGTTCTGGTAATTATTAAGTAATCTTTTAACTATTGGCTTACAGACAAAGGCAAATCCAAACATTACATCCTGTTAATTCCATAGTGGTTTCACAGTAGTTGAGATTACAAATAAAGTAGCCTGCCTTTAAATGCCATTTCAGAGTCTCCCTGGTGGCCCAAGGGGTTAAGTCTCAGCACAATGAATCTAGCAGGCAGACACTGCAGCAGGAGTTTAGTCCCAGGCCAGGGAGCTAGCCCATGTGTGGCGCAGTAGACTTCTCCTGTCTCGCCCGCTACTCCCCTCAGAGGTGTATTTCAGTCAATCTGTCTGTTCTGCTCCCCACTGTTTCTGGTGAATCCTCTCACCTCGCCCCCTACCTCTGGCCTATACCCCAGTTCTTGGATGCATAAATAAAACAATTCTTTAAAAAGAAAAATAAATAA